AAGAGAGAGCCAGACAGAGACTGAAGGGCTTTCTCAAAACAGTTATCCCTACTCCAGTGTACACAGTACACAGAGGCAGCACTGTTGTAACATTATTGTCCAACGCAAACTAATTTGGCATCCATGTTCAAACACTACAGAGACATCACAAGCAGAACACAACCAGTAAATTACTGGTCTACGACTACTCGGGATAAGACTGTTCTCACCATGGACGTTAGCCAGTCAATCATCGTGGCAGCTGGTCTGCTAGCAATATTTTGGTTAAGCAACCACATATTTGAAATCTAAATGTTGACTTTCTCACCTCAGCTTAAAGCTACGATAAGTAATGCTTGAGAAACTGTTAAGAGATGGCTGGATTTTTAAAGTATCCAGCGGAAAATATACATAGTTCTACACAGTTCAGGAAAATAATGATTACCCCCCAAAACAGAACAAACCAGATTATATTCTATTTTTCCAGGGCATTTGATCGGGATGTAAAGAGAATTTCAACAAACATGACAAAAAATGCTTCTGAAATGCATTACCTACCCTAGCTCTAAGTTGTTGGCACAATAACAGTTGTGGGAAGAAAATTTGAAACAGTTCTGAGTCGGCCATCACCATTGATTGAGGCAAAATGCATGCTGCTTGTCTTCCTCAAATCAACACAAATCAGCTTCAAAAGGATCTTCTGTAAAACGGGCAGAGCAGGAACATTCGGACTGTACTTGGCTGGATGTGGACTTTGAATGGAACAGTTGAATGGGTGGTAACTGGTAAACTGCGTTTCACAAGTACAGACAAGAACGCAGACTTAAAGAGGCCTTAAGTCTGTGTTTCAGCACCATGGAGAGACACATGAAAAGACTGGTTTTCAGCACCATGGACAGAGACAGACTGGGGGCAGCTAGATGTGAAACACTGCACTGAGTAAAGAGTGTTTTTTTTTCAAGCCTCAGTATTAACTAGGGAATATTTTAAGCATTATTTTTGTAGAGGCAGAGAGCTTTAGAGGAAAGTAGCTAGAGAAGGGGAATGAGAGGGAGGAGGAGAGATATGATGTAAATAAAGTCTCTGTGAAGAGAGTCTCTGTAATATGTGATCCTCTTTGAATAACTCTAACTCTCTTTGAAGGTTCGCACCACCTAAGCTCCTTCAAAGACAAATCTCAAGGGACAAAAAACTCTGCCCCCCACAACTGTACAGGACACTTTTTTACATACTTACACAAATACAGCACAATATGCCAATAAGATGTGTAGACAGACTATATTCTTGTTTAAAAGTGTATCATGTGTCTTTCATGCAGACACACATCTGTACGTCAGAGTGCCTGTGTATGATTCAAAACTTTTCTTTTCAAAGAACTAATTTTAGGGGACAAATGGCTCTAATGGCTCATGAATGCATGCGTGCGTGATTGGGTGTCTGCGGCACAAGCTTGCCAACGTACAATAGGACATGATGAGAGAGAAGGCCCTTTAAATGAAACATTGAGGTCTTTGAAAAGACAAAACGGAAAAAGCGAGAAGGCAAAAAGGTAATGTGAAATCCCTGTGTAGTCCTAACGCTGCTTGGTTACATGACCAACATGCATCAGAGGGTTGATTAGCGTGAATCACAGATATCTCGATGCCAATTCAGTGTCAGAATAAGAGTGTGTACTATAATATTTACTTCAGTATGACTTTGTAGATGCAGTTAGTCATCACTCATCACCAACCTAGCAACTGATGAAATACTGTGGTCCAACACTCAGCAGTCAGTTTATTTTGTTCACTCTGCCACAGCAGGAGATTAAATGCAAAGCTATGACAATTTTAGCGGGTAACTTTAGCCCTCTACTCTTGCTGTGACTGTTTATATATAAGTCAGGTGTTTTCCAGTGTAAACTGTTGAGTAGGTTGTTTCAATCTACAGTAGCCGTCCTTTCAGTTCACAACTGTGGGTTCAGCGTAGAACTGCTGAGTGGGCTGTTTGAGTTGAGAGAGATCAGCTTTAAGGTAGAAATGTGAGTGGCAAAAAAACAAATATATAACTCTTTCTGGAGAGGTAGGCTATGAGGAACCTAGAAATAGATAGAGAAAGGATAACCCACAACATCCAAGAATACCTTGAATAGAAATTAAGCTATTTTTAATTAAGTTGTAAAATTAAATGTTTCATTATATAGTCTTATCTGGTTTATTAGCTGGTCTAGACAGGTGATTGAACCAAAGATATGTCGGGTGCCCCCGTGCAAGCAATTATTTTTAAAATTGTGGGCAAGATTGACAGGTGTACTATGTGTCCTGGAATGCAAAATGAACTGCTGGGCCTGGTGGTGTCATAGTCCCAATTCAGCAAAATATCAACATAATCACCTTTTCCTCTAACGTCCAAGCCATGAGTGCTTCCCCTTAAAAGCACAAGGGGTACTTGAATCAGGCTCTGTGGACAGATAAATGCATTTTGCCAAAGGGTAAACGTGATCTTATCCAATGTGATGATTTTTTATAGAATACCAGTGTGACTGCTGTGTGAGATTTACGTGGGACAAAAACTATCACAGTTGCTGTTGTATGTTGGGGCCACGTGGCCGTATGCACTCACTATTTCTCAAGACTGCAAGTCTTATATTGAAAAAGGTTCTTTCAAAGATACGCAGGAGTAAAAATGAAAAGTAGCAAAGATAAAGATGTTAAACTTGCTGGCTGTGTGGTTGCAACAAGCAACTCTCTTTTTAATAAACCATAATCTCCTTCTTATACACTCAAATAGTGGGAAGACTTGTGTTTGATTAGATTAAATCCCCTCAATGAAGCTATCTGCATAGCATAAGTCAGTCACCGTGCATTAACTTTAATAAGATAATGATTAAAACGATTTCTGTAGGTGACGCTAGACACAAATAGAATCACACTTGACATATTGCTCCTGATCCACACATGTGTTTCTGGCATCTTAACTTCCTGAATTCCACTTCTTAACAGCTTCAATAGATACATAACCTTGGTTCAAGGCGATTCAGAGCTATGAATAAGCTGAACCTTACCTAAACTTTAGTTTAAAAAAAAATAATCCATGTGAGAGTGCAGAATGTGGGAGTCTTTCCCTGAAGATGGGCTTGCATTCAAATGCTCCAGTGATTATTGCGTCCATCTAACGGAAAAAATATTTTCCCCTGTGAACAAATACAAGGAGCGGTTCATAATGTTTTTAAATGAAAGGAAAGTAGTTAATCCTCAGTGTATTTTGCTCATCGACTAATAGGGAAGAAAGAGCATCCTACTGGCTGAAAATGGTTGCTGAATATGCAAATAAATGCATATTTCCTGCCCTAATTGTTGCCTTATAAAGCACAAAATAGCCGGTCAGCACAGTGTGGCAGACTATGCTGCATAAGATATCCATCTCTTAGTCTCACATTTGTTCTTAAGCAGTCTTTAAAAGTCAGCCACTAGGGTAAGATACATGTTTCAGGAATAGATTTCAGTAAACAAACAGTGTCAGTAGACTTTAATGAAGATGGGCAAATGAGGCATTAAACCTATAACTATGCATGATTCAGTAAAATGCATGAAAGGGGTTCATATTCATCAGAAAAGAGTTGAATTACAACCCATCCAGTGCATTTTTTACCTGAAGTGAAAGAGTACTTCCACGCTTTATGATTTGGCATTATGCTTCACTGTAGCTGCATGAGGCCTCCTGGGTAATTTCACACATCAGAACTGGTTCATCAACATCAGTATAGTCAGCTTTTCAAAAGGACTCACCTGCGCTTATTAACCAGCTCTTATGCGGCAGGTGTGAGCCAGCCTACCTTTGAACTTTACTTTTTTTTTTTTTTAATATTCTAATTTTTCCTTTCATTTTACAGATCGGAAATCGAACGCATACATTACACACATACACAAATGACATTGAAAAAAATGTAGACGTGTGCACAAAAGCAAACAAAAGACTATGAATGAAATACTTTTTTTAATGTACACCATAACACACAATCCAAAGGAGTTCAAATATGACCTTATTGTATCCCACAATCCCTCTGGGCCACGATCAAGGTGCCTTAATGTTGCAGCAGCTCTTTCCATCCCTATTAAATCAATAATCTCTTCCAACCAACTGCTCAAGGTTCTTATCTTCCAATCATAACATTTTTTTTTGTTTCACAGCAAGACAACCCAATGTTACAAATCTAGTTTTCCTCACAAATAACCCATCTACCTGGAGGGTCAATCTGAGGGCATTATCAAAGACAGTGCATCAGGGCACTTTACTGTTTACTTTTTTGAGGCAAGGGACAGACCCCAAGCTGTTACAGTAGTTCTAATAGTGTAAGGTATCCATCAAGCTGTCACTATAGTGTAATATAAAGCTGTGAAGACATAATTGACCAGCTGAGTCTTCAAATTCACTGTCCCTGGACTGGAAATGTATAGGTTAAATCCCTGTAGCAGCCATCACTGTGTCCACCAGCAGCCAGCTGCCCTTCAGCAAGATATGAAGCGCTCTGGATAATGTTATCAACTAGAAGCTATATAGAGCCTTTTAGCCATTTAGGTTGCAAGCAGGCTTACAGAAATAGATTGGCACCCTAATCTAAAAGGGGGCATTTGGTCGGAAGCTACAGATTATGTGGTTTGAGTTCACTTAAATGTCAACTTTTTTATTAAAGCCATAACATTTACTTTGGAATAGTTTGGGGTTCATTGATGACAGTGGGTATTTTTTTTTGGGGGGGGGCTCAAAGATCTCAGGGTCAAACCATGAAATGCGCGCACGCAGCACATAGAGACATGAGTGCAGGGTGAAACAAAGTAGATTTGGTCTACCCACAATTCCCCTACAGAATTAATATCACACACATTTACACTGTTATATAAATTCATAGTAATGGAAGTTCTAACATGGACCCACTGTAAGCTGAAGTACAGGACGACCCTTCCCTCAGAATATGACGGGGTTCACCAGGTTTTAACCTTTGTTATGAAATGGAGCCATTGCAAAGGGGCAGAAGCTCTTACCCGAGTTCCTCAGCTTGCGGTTCCTGAACACCGAGATGATCACCAGCAGATTACCCAGCACGTCCACCACGGTGGTGAAGATCAACACGCTGGCCAGGATTCCTATGACCCAGGCGGGGCGGGCACTCCCCTCCGTGGCCAGTGTGCGCTCTAGCTGCCCCAGCCGTGGCTCTGTCCGGTTCTTTATGAGTGTGAATGTGTCCGGCATCACTGGCCCACAGCCCGACGCTGCCTTCAAGTCCTAACTGTGCTCTATGTCCCGCAGGTACCGCCGGTGTGTCCTAAATGAAACATGGAGCTCACCTGGGTGACACTCCGAGTTCCACGAGAGCGCACGTCAAGCCTGCTACTTAAAGGAGATATGAGTTTGTTGATATTATGCGGGGTGACCTATATAAAGTTACATAGACTCTTGCCTTCTCGCACAAAACTCATCCATCCATGTGCCACGGAAAGCCGATCGGACACGCGGCGGTGCCACACCTCCACCGTGGTAAGGAAATGTAAATTATTTGTCGTTTAAAAGATATTTAATGAAAGTAGGTCCAGACCACTCATATTTAAAGTCTCCATCCTCTTCAAGTGCCCCTAGCTTGCTGGTTGGCATCTCGAACTCCCATCCGTCTGTACGCGCCCACGTTGGTCAAAAACAAAAAACAAAAAGAGAAGGCTATTCCTTTTCTAAAATGTCAAACCATCGCACCGCCTCGGGAGTCCCTCCTGATTTAATTTGCTATTCTCTGCGAACGGAGGAAAAAATCGTCCTCCCTAGCCGTTTGTGATGCCCTTGCCATGCGCTGAACTACGACGCAACCGGCGCTGCGCGTTGCAAGGCGGCACTGTGGTAAATATCACAGAGAGAGAGGGAGAGAGAGAGAGAGGGAGAAGCCTCACGGTGTGAGGACGGAGAGACACACGGCTTGACAGACAACAGTTTTACCTGGCTTTATGTGTCTGTCCATTTCTCTAGCCTCCCCCTTTGAGCTTCTCTCCCCCCCCCCCAATACCACGCCAAGGTATGCGTGCAAACAAAGATTTCCCTCATCTTCCCCTGGCCATTCCCAGCGTGACTTGCCAAGAATCTGTCTTTGATCTCAGCACAATGCTCGGAGTTGCTCTAAGTGTACACACAGCGGTGGGTCGGCACGGGAAGTCCAATCAGCACACTGTGATTTATGTGGAGCATTTGTCACAGATGAGCCAGAGAACATTTTGAAAGCACAATAATATGCTGTTCTGTAGATCTATTGCCCGAAATGACATGTATATTTACTGATTTATTTGGTTTATTAAATCCCGTGTTAATGCATGCACCTTTAAAAAAAAAAAAAGATGAAAATAATCAGTAAAAACAGCTGGAGTCACTCAATTGCAAAGACAAAACTATTGATTGAACCAATTTTCTTGTGTGTGCATGCCTCCACCAGGGTGCCATTTTTGGACTCTGGACTATGATTCACTTTGGTGCACGGTGCAGTCAGAGCAAGTGGAGGTGGCAGTCTAATCCCATTCATCCCTTGACGTGCATGGGTAACTGGTGGAAGCAATGCAGTCGAACTCTCCCATCAGATCCAGTGGATTTATATGTCATCGATATTGTCAGTGCCAGTGGTGACACATTGAGGCCAGCGCCATTCACTTGTTTAACTCTTCACCGCTGGGCGTATGGCTGCAGCGGATGCCCTCAAGCACAGCAGCAGGAGCAGATTAGAGCAGCCCAGTGTCAGCCTCAAAGCAGGGTGATGTGTTCCACGGGCTGATGTGATGACCAGGAGACAGACAGCTCTGGCTCTGAGGTCAGCCAGATTGGCACACAGACACACGCGCGCGCGCGCACACACACACATACCAGCAGGAGCAGGGACTGACACAACTTCACACATGTAGAATAGCATTGACGGTGCAAAACATAAATCTACTAATTGAAAACTGCAAAGCCCTGACTATGGTGGACTAAAGATTTTCTGAATCTACAGCCAATGTGATTACTGTGTTTGCCTGCTCTGAAAGACCCTTCAATAATCTTAGGCACTCACTTATGGCAGTGGAGCATATTGCATGGTGGGAATATTAGCAGGAATGGGGAAGTGGATGGATGATGCTCTAGCAGACCGGCCACAAGAACTAGGTATCAGCGTGCCGTCCTCTATGAGAACAAGTAACATAACTGCTCCATATGGCAATGTTCTTTTTGCTGTACTCCACAGGACAACATGGTTTTATTAATATTGATGAATCTTTGTTGGCTCCCTCAGAGCCGTTGTTCCGCAGAGAGTTTGGTTAAAATCACCAGATGGTGCCACCAAAACAAATGTCTGGAAGTAGGGTGTAAAGACACAAGGGGAAACTTGCCTGGCAGTGCTATTGTATATATTTCCTTGTGAGTGGTTTTGTAATGTAACAAGTGTAGCCATTTTTCAAAGACATCTAATCTTTTTGTAACATCACTTATTGGGATGACAAATGGGTTTGGAGGAGAAGGATGTCGCAGTCTTGAGGAGCATTCAGTAGGGATACAGCATGTAATAAAAACTGTAATTCATTATAATAAAACTGAATGGCAGTGATTATTTTATTAAAGGTTTGTGCTAGTGTGATAACCACGTGGGTCAATCTTTGTTATGAATAATTTATTGTGTGTATTAGGGGAAATTAAGAAAATTGTGATATCTTGTGCGTGGAGTGTGTGTTTTCTCCAAGACTTTAAAGATATAATATTTAGCCGTACTAGTGGCAATGTTCAGTCTGAAAAAATAAAAAGGGCACCAGCTGCATGCAGGCAGAAAATGGTGATGCAGGTCCAAACCCTGCTTAGATTAAAACTGTCTTATTATTTGACTTATAGCTACAAAACTACAAAACCTCTGCCATAAAAGCACACAGAGAAATATTAACCACGTAGAAGCCAGCTGCTTTTCCAGCATGTATGGCACTGTATCTTTTTAAGTCTTTTTAGTTACAAAAGGAGATGCAGTATAGCTGCACCAAACTCCGTTTAACAACAACTTGTTGCCATTTATAACTGCAGATTTGATCAGTTGTGATATTTGTTTTTAATAATATTGTTATTTGTAGAAGACTTACTACCTTCAGCAGCTGTTTTATTTGGAAATGAGACGCCTGGGAATCTTCATCAGTGATAATCACTCAACATTTGAAGCTTCATTAGAGAAGATTTTCTTAGAATGTTAGACACGTAACCCTTTATAAAGGGCACATGATTAGAAAGTGGTATCATCATTTTGGACACAGCTAGTTGGTTTTGTTATATTAAGTGGTTCTTTTGAATAATTATTGTGATTGCATAATTGTTTGATTGTTTGTCTGTCAGCTCATGAAAGAAGCACAAAAGCACAGAAATACCATGTGAAATTTGGTGGAAAATAACCCCTAAACCAAGAAACCAAACGAAAAGAGATTTTGTTATAATCTGGATTTGGAATTGCTGCCATTAGATTTTAATTTAGAGATTTAGAGGGAGGGAGGAGAAGCTATTAATCAAAGCAGTATGTCTGCAGAATTAACAAACGATTTTAATTTAATTTAATTGTTAGCCAGGGTGTCTTCAGGTGTAACATCAACAATTTGTATTGGTGGATGTTTGTGCCTTTTAGATGCGCTAGGATTGTTCTTACATTCGAGTCATCTGATGGACCATAAAGGTTACTACCACAGGCATTTCACACTTGCACAGTTCAACAAGGACCTTATAAAAATCTTACAGTTATAGCAACTTCAGCAAATCTAGATGCTTATTCTGCTGGTGAACATGAAAACCCCCTGATGATCAAAGCACAATATAGAGCAGACCTCCTTTTTACCAAAATCAGATCTCAGCAGTCTCGAGGGTGACAGCGTACCAATTCCTCAGAGCTAAGGCAGATAACAAGCTGAGCTCTCAGGCCCATGATGCTGCCAAATTTCTCAGCAGCATTTTGATCCATCATTCTGTCTCACCTTTGTTTTAGGCAGCATTTCTTTACAAGATCAGAACAAACTGGGGAGCACTGTAATAAAGTCCAACATAGAAACACTAAAGCCCCCTGTTAAATCAGCATAAAAGAGCTCAAGCCAAGACTTATGGAGGGTAAAATAAACATATCCCCGATAATGCGGATTCAGCATATTGGTCTTTGTGTAGTTTGCAGAAAGTCACCATTTTCCCTCCAAAGATATGTCCCAAAGTTTGAGACGATTACTTAGTCTTTTAATGCCATATAATGATAGTTTAATACTAGATGAGTTGTAGTACAATCCAATCACATTTATGCGCCCTCATCACACAAGAAAACCCAATAAAGTATGTGGCAGCAGAACTTCCCTTTCTCACACAGTCATTTTCTAGGCATATGCCAGAGGATTGCCATGTAATAATCTGCAGGGAAAGGGGGGGAGGGGGGGGGTTGATTGGCTAGGGCTGGTGCACAGCTTCCTCTACTCAGTCACACACAGCTGAGGGCGGCTTTCTGATGCGAATTCATATTGTCATACATCGAAATTTCCCTTCCCCCACCCCTTGTTTCAGCAGTGTAGGCATATTGTGTCCAATTGCACTCGTAAGATTTAAGTATTTGTGAATAATACATGCGATGAAATTGCTTGTGACAGTGTCTGCATTTGTAACAATTATGGTCATGTGAGTGTTGTACGTGCATGTATGACTGTGTGCATGTTTGTGTGTATGCATGCGTTTGTGTCATCAGAGGCAGATGTTAGGCACATAGATTAGGTCTGGCTGGGTGTGTAATCCTGGTGTTACTGAGAACAGCGTGGATTTATAATCACCCACACAGCTACCCCTCAATAAACAGAAACTAGGGAATGGTAATCTCTCTTACTTTTCCCACTTCTCTACTTATCTCTCGACTTTCTTGATCTATCCCTTATTCTCCTCCTCCTTTATGTAACATCCTTTCATTCATTTGTCCATCCTTTCCCTCTCCTGATGTGCCCAGCCAGATCTGGAGGAACGACATTGTGAAAAGAATAAATAAAAAAAAAACAGTGAAAAAATGGGGGATTGTGGGGGTAGAAAGAGGTTTTAAGTGGCTTAGCTGACTCTATGGTGTAAATGCCAGATGGTCCAATAAAAAGCCAGCAGCTAAAGGGACTGGCAGGTCCTCATCGGTTTCCTCTGATGCATGATGAATAAATACAACACTTTGTTTATTGCTCTCTCTCTCCCGGTCTCTCTTCCCTCACACGCCCTCGTTTTTGCCTTTGGTTTGACCCTGTGCCTGTCACTAGGACAGCCAGCATGCTTGGAATACGTTAAACAAGCAGGATGGTCATCAAAAGAGTGTGCCAGAGAGAGTGTGTAAGTTATTGGGACATGTTGCATAATCCTTGTCAGAATAATTTAATAAGCTGTGAATCTGGGTGAATAAATTGCTCGTAGTTTTTCCCCTCCCTCTGACCAGACAGCTGGACTATTTCTACCTGTGTTGTGTGGTTTACGTTTTTTGGTGTTGATTCTGTGTGTACCACACGTATGGCTGGAGGCAGAGATAATGTTACGTAAGGTTTTGCCCGTAAGGATGCATGTCTTGTGGGTAATGACTCCTCTCTTTCTCCCTTTAAAAGCCCAGAATGAAGACAGCATCGCGACAAACAAAAAAAAAAATACATAAATGAATGGGTGGATTAAAAGGAAGGTGACATGTCACCTGCACCTTTTAGAGACCTCTCACTTGAGACTTGTTTAGCATATTATGCTAATTGATAAAATCTAATTTTCTCTGTTGCCTTGTTGTGACAGGCAGGGGTAATAGATGAAACATAAATTCAGGTGTTGTGATCACATTGGGGAGCAAAGCAAGCTGATTATTTTTAGGCTGCAAAGTCGGTAACAGGAGTTTCAGAATGTCTCCTGCAGTGACAAGTTTCATCAAGTTTTATGTGCATTTTACACAGTAATGCATGATTTTCTTCCTGGGCTGAGGAAAATAAAAATTCATCTCCCTTGAGTTCTGCCTTGTACCTGTTTGTGTCTTTTGTGGTTCATGGTTCCTGCAGGGAGAGAGAATAGAACTGGTACAAGCCAGCCAACATTTGACTATGAGCTATTTCCATCTATTGCACTGACACAAACTGGCATGCACTAAAAGATATATGAAGTGTTTCCCTCAAAAATGATATCCACTGTTCAAAAAAATGTAACACTTACTCCGACAAAATGATTGCTGTCGTGAAATAGCAGCTATTGCTGCAGCTAGTGGCTATCGTAAAATGTACACTTGTAAATAGTTATTTTAAAGGATGTAATGACTGATTCTTGGAATGTTTACGAATAATTTTAAGCCACATTTTTCTGTCCCAGACCTGAGGGCATGCATGCCACCACTGAATCTTGACTTTTTTGCATGCATACCTACATATTATATGTTTAGGAGTGGGCAAGTGGTTATTCTTGTGTCAAACAACTCTGCTCTTCCCCCATGTTGCGCTGCATCAACAAAACACACATACAGTACTTTGGGAGCAGGCGTGCTAATGTGAGATCATACAGCAAACACATGAACACACACTTGTACGGTACACACACACATATACACCTCCTCGACCCTAAATTGGGCAAAACATGTTGCATGTGACAGGGGAAACGAAACACAAACATGATCATGGGAATGTCTGGTTGCCATAGGAATGCTTTCTGGCCGAGTCGGTGGTGTTTTTACAAGGAAGGTAGGATGATAATAAGGACAAAGTTTGTGTGTACTCCACAGGGGGTGAGGAGAGGAAATAATCAGAAACCACAAAGGTTCCACAATGCATCTCCTTGTTAGTTACAGACAGAGTGCGTGCAGAGTGTAGACGTGTAACTGACCATTGCCTGCCTTCGACCTTTCGTCACCAATCAAAAATTAATGACTGGTCACCTTTTGAGGATGTAGATAGAGCGATTAAGAAATGCCACCTTACACGCCGGTAGCAGACCTTGTCACATTCAGTAATTAAAGCTGCTTTACTTTGGATTATGAGCAGAGGGGCATGTTATATTAATCAAACACATACTGAGACTGTGGAATTTGGATTTTACTTTTCATGAATTGCTGAAGGCTGGTGAACGAGACCACCAGGCCTTAGCCCTCACAACACAGTTCTGCAGAGATCACAGACACGTGCTTCTAGAGATGCACAGTCTGCATAATTTGATCATAGCACTGGGTCAGTGTGAAAATAAACCCACAGGAACAAAGAGTACTACACAATAAGCCGCAAACATCTATTCAAGAAATCAATTCCTGAGGCAAAAAAGGGCATAATACGTTACAGTTGACAGTGTATTACAGCCAAAACAATCTTAAACCATGATCGTAACACTCTTTTTAAAATAACCTCAAATGATTTCAAAATAAAATTTATTCATCATACATTTTATGCACTTAAGATACAAGAAGACATTCCCGCGTCTCCCCAGGACATTGATGACTTTAAGCTCTGCTAAATGAATCTGCCAGATTCCAGTCAGGAGGGAAAGAAAAACATATAAGAGGCGTGACAAGACTGACTTGATAGGATTAAATATTTTATGGGTATTATTTATTTATCTCATGTAGCCTCCGTTGAGACATAGTTCACCTGCTACAGCACATCAGGTACATAATTCACCCGTAAAACGAACGCCATTTTCTTCCAAATAAAGTATGAATCTGCTGGAGCATATTCTTCAAGTCCACACTGGTATATAAACATTGGGCTTCAGCAGCTTCATGACCTGAAATTGCTTCCGATAGATTTAAAAGGTACTTTACAAGATGATTCAACTGCAATTGATGGTAATGAAGTAGTAAAGCATGACAGCAAAGGTGTCTCACATGTTCGCAGTGTTGATTCACAGCATTGAGGTTCTAGGTTTTAAATTTCAGCCTGTTGTTCTGTTGGCACGTTCTCACAGTATTCCCGGTGGGTTTTCTTCTGCAGTCCACAGTGATGCAGGCCAGCTGAACTGTAAACTCTAAAGTGCCTACAGGTTTGAATGTTTTTTCTTCCGTGTGTTAGTCTGACCTGTCTGGGATGTTTCTCTGCCTGTTGCCCAATGCAATGGGACACGCTTCAGCAACCCACTTACACAGTAGACCTGAAAAGGAATGACTAAAGAGGATGAATGGACACATACTGTGAGACATGGATCCATTAGGTGACACTAAGCCTGATCATGTTCATGTTAAAGGACCAGTGTGTAAGATTTAGTGGCATTTTTGCAATGGTTTGTCCGTTCTGGGCTACTGTAGAAACATAACGGCTTTTAATGGAAGGTGACGTGCGGCATCTGTAGATATAAAAGGCTCATTCTAAGGTCATAAAATCGTAATGAGCAGTATTTTTTTTAAGCGATACAAAAACAGTTATATTAGATAGATAGATCCTCCTACATGTTACACACTGAACCTTTAAGTCAGTTGGTATGTGGCTATCAGTGTTGTTTAAAAGGCCTCCAGTGTTACATCTTCATTTAGATACATGTACAGTATGTACAGTCTGATGTGGAGGTGATATCTACTTCTTTCTTGAGGATTCCATTTATATCCTCCAGTATTTATGTCCTTCTCAAATGAAACAAAATGAGTCACGTTTACCAGAGGAATCTACTAATCGTTCTTAAATACTCCAAGTTACGTACCACCTGTTTGTTCTGCCTGTGTTTCAAACTTGTTCAACATCTATGTTTAATTTCTTTATGTGTGTGAACCGGGAACACAGCAGCACTTTATATGTGTTATCAATGAGGCAACTGTGTGTAAATGTCTCAGCTGATTGATTCTGTTCTCCACAGCTGTGTTTTCACATAATTCTCCAAGCTCATCTCATTCACCACATGAAGTATGAAAATTCATATCACATGTTAACACCAGGCATGAAGTGGGCTTAATTCTGTCTGAAGCACTGCATTGGTAATATATACAAGATACATAACGTTCATTGAGAGTAATATCAGGATGTGTTCATACCATTATTAGAGTTGCATGAATAAAACAAAAAAGATTTTTAATATACATGTATAATGAGCCATATACCCTTAAGGCTTCTGTTTATAAAGGCTCATGAATAATAAATGATCATAGAATAATTAATATTTTTTTTTATTAAATAAAGATCTCCTGGTATCAACTAATGGTAATCTTAATAGCATCTCTGAGGCTATGTCTGGGATGTGTGTTCTCTCCAAAACAACCCCAAGCTCACATCAGTAAAAAATAAGAAATGCATTACACGGTTGAGCTGACAAATTGATTGTGTGCATGTGTGTGTCTGTACGCGTGTGATTCAACAGAACGATATATGAAATGTGTGATAACATATGTACATTGGCATCGTCTAAAACAGAGACAGCCTGGCTCTGTTCATATTTTGATGTTAATAAATGTTGTGCTCCAGAGATTCTATAAATAATAAATGTAATAGCATTGATTCACAGCCAATCTCAGCTAACTCTCATGCAGCTCAGGTGAAGGCGTCTACAGAACATATATATTTCCTCTAATTCCACCAGCTTATAAATGAGCCAGGGGATTGGTGGTGGATTAGTGTTTGTTTCTTACAGTGGGATAATAATGCTTGATGATAAAAGAATATATGGTAATATTCTCCTTTAATTATTTTTAGGTGGCGGACCAACGGCGTAGTATTATAAATGTCAAGTATAATCAGAGAGAGTCATTGCCTCTCTTTAATTTATAAAGGAATATAGCATCTATTAGTTTTAAACAGTCTTGTGTGCTCATTTAAATCCATCCCAGTCTGTTGTGGGTTCAGATCTAGTAGAGGCTCTGTTTATTCGCGTGGCTCTCCTGGCTCTGAGCGACACCAGGTTCAGTAGTCTCTCTAGCTCGTCCCCAGAACCTGCCAGACTGCTGGAACCGAGCCCTCCACGATCCTCTTGTGTTCCCCTCCACTCCCCTGTTTGTAAGTCCCACGCTCTGAGAGGGGGCAGGAGTTGGGCTGGATGCAGGTTGATGCCTTGGGGGCTCGACGGGTATCCTTCATAGGCTGGTCGGGTTGGGGGTAGAGTATCATAAAGGCTCTCTGTGTCTTCTGTTTGCTCTGGGCCATGGCTGGATTCTCGATATTCCTCGTAAACAGGCGAGGAGCTGTCTTCGCAGCTGTCATGGCCCTGTAACTGCTGACGGTCTCTGTGGTCCTGGCGCATCCCCATGTCTCTGCTCCTGTTGCCTGTGTTCTTTCCTTCCCCATCGTGCCGTCTCTTTTCTTCTTTGTCCAGGACGCATTTCCGCTCCCACTCACCTGACTGATTCCTCTCCCACTGGAAGGTCCTCTTCTCGGTCTCCCGTCCCCTCTCTTGGCCCTTGTCACCGCCATAGCCCATCACTCTGTAGTCCAGCTGGAGAGACCGTGTACTGCCTCCTCGTCTGATGTTCTGCTGGGTGTCACTGAGGTCGTAATGGGATCCCACCTCTGGTGGACGCAGACGTGACGGTGACAACCAGCTCGAAGTCTGACTGGAAGACTCCCAGCGGTATGCTGAAAAGCCAAATAAAAGAAAAGAAAGAAAAACATCATGTTAAGCAGTTTGGAATATTTTCAGTGACCAATAGTATGTTTTAACAGAACAACAAGAAGAGAGATGGCCTACTTAAGAGAGTTAAGAAAGGGATTTCAGTTAACATACTGTGTTAGGAGCCTGAGGCTTTATTCCATGGACAAACTACTGCTGCCAAATCACTGGAAGTACGAAGTCCTCACTTGAAAGAGTGTGTTATGTTACAAACAGCCTTTCTGCATTGCACAGTGTGAGCAAGGAATGAGATTATCTATCTAATAGGATCAGCCTGTGAAAGGTGCCACATCAATAAATCACTTCTGAAACAACAGTATCATCACAATCTTATCTACGGGAGGTAAGTGAGGTGACACCAGCAAATGTGCTTTTGTGGATCTGTTACTGGAGGGACTGATCTGAAGATGTTCAGAATTACTCAGATCACTGCAGATTCCATCTCTGCCCTCCTAACGCCACAACAGCTACCTCTGGGTGTAAAGTGACTAACACAAGGTGCCAGAATCTGGTATTTACTGCCTGCTAATAAACTCCCTTACCTAAAAGAAAAAAATGTAAGCCAATTTCCGTTATATTAATGAATAGCCTGTGTATACCCAAACTTGTTGTGCTTGTTTCTATTTTTCCCCCATCTTCCATTTTTCTGCTTATTATCTACTCCCTTGATCGCTTTATATTTTCATAGAAATGTGCTGCTTGTTAGTTATGTGCGTGATAATGTGTCGGTACATGTGTGAGTGTGCTGCATGTTTGAGTCTGTATTTGCGTGTTTGTTTGTGTCTGCCATGCAGCGGGAGGCTTCTGAATAACTGTTTCTCACTGTGGGACTGTGGGGTTTACGATGTGTTTTCTGGGACTGCATGTTTACGTTGTGTAATTGCTCTGATTCTCATTTAGAGTTTATTAATGTGCAAAAAAAGTCCACAAAATTCCTTTCTACCGCTGAGTTCATGCTGTTAAATGGACTGATGCAGAACTCCCTGCTAAACCACTACTTCCTACAAACTACAGCATGCGGGTTGCATAATTCATGGTTAGGTTAATGAGCTGTGAGTAAAAAATATCATATTGATGAAGTAAGAGAAGCCAGAGGGGTCATCCTCTGTGTGGGATGGAGAGTACCCTTCATTAGCAATGCCTACTCCTGGTATATAATGCATGACACGTGTACGGAGATATCTAATAGACTGTCATGCCAGCAAAACCACAAAAAAAATGTGGGAGTTCTTACTTCATGCCATGCTGCTGGAATACTTCTGGTTGGAATACTTTCAAATGAAAGGTTAAGGGGTAAAAAATAAATTAATGTTCTTACAATCCACAATGTACTCTTTGATGAACTCTACACAAATCTCATCTTTGCTCTCCAGGTGGCGCCTCGCTGTCAGTGAAGTGGAAAACAAAGCAAATATCTCATGGGACAGGAAGCCTTTGATGATGAAATGCTCTTCTCATAGAAACAACTGAATGCAGAAAGACATGGTGAATTATGACATGGAGGAACAACACACTTGATAATGGGAGAGGGAGGCTGGCAGAGAGCCATTTAGCACCAATACAGACAAATACACAAATAAACCAAACTCATAACACATGATACATAATACACAAACATGTTATCTCATGCAAGCTGCATTAATGTCATATGAAAATTCAGATCCCATTTCCAGGAAAAACAGACGTGAATACTCTTCACCTCGTTATAAATCTGATATTTATATATATTTAGTTTTTTTATGCAGTTGTTTCTGTGCTACTTTCTTGGCCACAAACACAACAGAATATATACTCATTGTATAAAATGAGAAATATATGTTTGTTCATGTGTTTTTATTAACACAAACCCCCTGAATCCAATGGGGTATTTGGAGCAACCTACTGGACAACAATTCATCCATCATTTAATTCCCTCTGTCTGAAATAAAGCTTCTTATGCTTCAGTAAGCTGGCAGAGACAGGAGGTACTGTATGAACGCAGTCTTGCTCTGGTTGAGCAATGAAATACTTTGCGGACCTCGTAAATTACATGCAACTGAGAACAAACAGACTTGGTAACTATGAGCCAATTAATCTTGGTTTTAAGACTGTAGCACAAGCAACTGACAAGAACACAAGGATATTATAGGATAGGTGCAACTCATGACTGCACTGATCTTTGTCTAAGCAAAACCATGCATGCAGTGAGAGTGGAAAGTCAGTGTTCAGTCTGTAGATGATGCCCTATTTAGTGTGAAAAGAAAGTGTTTGAAGCTGCCTTCTCCTCTGCCATTCTATGCGGATGTGAGGCTTGGCTCAAAGTGCCCCAAAAATCCTCTGAGACCCTCTACTAGGCCGGGGGGTGAAAGCTTTGCTTTGCTTGGAGTGCTACGCCCAACTTGACCGAGCTATTACATGTCAGCATAATTTAAATGATCTTAATCACCTATTTATATACAGAAGGCTCTTGTGTTTGTTATATGCTTGCCTGAAATAATTATGTGGTGAAAGAATTGTTTTTATATGTACTATCTTTTCATATGTTAGACATTATTTCTTGACTGAATGTGTATTTGATCATCTATTTCATGTTTTTTTACATTTTATATTAAAAATGTGTTGCAAGTCGGTCTGAGGCAGCATTTTATACAATCTGAATCCAGCATCAACTCCCCTTATCTAATGCAAACCCTATCTAAAAACTCATTTTGTTTTATTTTTCAACACTTGGGACTAATTAGAGACATAAATACCTAAAACTCAAAGATCTTTTTCAGCTTTAGTTGGCTAAGAAAGCAGAAACACTACAGTTTTGAGTGGAAGCCTAATTAGTGATTAACAGTATTGACAATCAATCACAACCTGCAGCTACACTTTGGAGCTGAAATAAGCAGCATAAAATCAAATGTTTAATATGTATATACAACACATTAGCACAGTGTTTTCCACAGGCTTCTTATTCCAAATACTGGAGGTCCTGATTCAGAGGTCAAAATATTGATATGATATTTATGAATGTTATATTCTGAATACTAACATTGATGAAAGTTTTGCTACTCTGTTGGTCTCTGAGAAAAAACATGCAGACCACTCACTCACCCATAAATAGGTGTTTCAAAGTAGGATGTCTTTTTATCACAAAGCTGAGTGCAGACATAAGCTTGTACAGACATCGGCAGACAGTTTTATTGTGGCCTTTCATCAAATTACTTACAGAAGAGCCTGACTGATACTGGATTTTTGAAGTCAGTCCTGATATTTATGAATATAAAACCAGAACCAGAACAGAAATTCTTGAAAAGGTTCCATTAATATTTGCTAAAAAACGTCTGTTGTCACGCATCGGTATATATCATTATATTAGCCTGCCAAATTTATTGGTCATGCTCCAATATTAACGTTAATTAGCTACATATTATATAATCTGCTACTTGAACAGACAAAAGCGACAACGAATGAAAAGCCTGCTACCTGAATATTGTGTTCTTTGCTTTTTTCCTAGTTTCAAAAAGGAACCACCAATCCCTAGTTGGGAGTCTGGAAGCATAACTAGAAACTGGGAGCCTAATTACATTCAAAGACTGGGTAGCAAAAAAAAATGTTCAAAAAGAAATGGTAATCTGTGCTGTATGGGATATGATACAACTATTCAGAGAAAAAATGTAAAGAATACAAAAGGTTGGGTTTTGGGATCACTGCTTGAGAATTAAAGCCAAAGGAATGGCAAGTTAATAAGATGTTTTTCAGTTGCTTTGCAACTCTCTCACCAGGGCTGTTCCGCCGCTGTTCTTTGTCCATGTTCGACACTACAAAGGGAGAGAGAAAGAGAAAGTCAGAGACAAACAACACAAAAACCAAAGGTGGAAAATTGAACCATAGACAGATCCAGTGTTAGAAGCTGACAAAATATTGGAAATCTAAGCAGGATGTTTTATTCTGACAAGAAACAGTAGCGACTTGGCTGCATTCAGAACATGATATCTAAGTGTTACACCACTGAACAAACACTTTGAGATCAGAAGACAGACACAAAGAGATAGAGGAGTTAACTGAGGATATTCTTTCATACCTTCACTTTCAATATTATCAACAGCATCATTGACGAGACGTATGACTGTCACTATGGAGGCTATAGGCAGAGTACAGAAAGAAAGACCATAAGTACAGTAACAATGTTAGTGCATTTATGACTAGGGTAAGGTTTCACGTGCTGGGTGTGACTGAGATGAAATTGAGAATGTGTGTGAGCATGTGTGTGCACACGTGTTGAGAAGAGGAGGAGACATGTTACTCGTCAACACGTTTGTATGCTTGTGTGTGTGTGTGTGTGTGTGTCCTATAAGGGAGTGTGAGAGACACGAGGCATCTTGTCTTTGCAGCTACAGTAATTAGACGAGAAACAAAGTATTTGCGTAGGTCTGAAAAACACACACCCACACACATGATCATTAAGGTGTTTGGCTTCCAACCTATACTTAGCTACCGAAAGATCAATGGTATTGAGTTATCTGTGAAAAAGACTAAAGAATTTCTAAACAAGGCTAGAAAAGATGTTGTTTCTTTGACTGAAGACCTTTGATGCATTTTCATGGATATATTTAGTTGCACTGAGGTACTTTTCATGAAAACATTTTCATCCACATGGTTTGGAACATTTTAATTAGTCTTTTTTCTTGCTTGCTTTTTAATATGTTAATACAGTCAATGCACTATAGTGGATGTGCAAAGTGGACTGTTCCTACATTCTGGAAACTTCATCTACAGCAGTGGCTCTCAGCTTTTTTTTCTTGTGTAGCCTCAACATGAAGCACTGTCTATTTGAAGACTGATTTTCCCTCCGACATATTGCAAAACAAAAATGCCATGTTTAAGGAGCGCAAAGTGTGTTGGGACGTTTAAGCAGTCTTACCGTTGTCATCGAAGGACTCAGAAGTGTAGGAACTGAGGGAGTGCTCCTCAGAGGTGGAATCTGACAGACACGCCGCTTCTTCCACCAGCTCTGACACGTCTACATGTACAAACACACACAGGTACATATTCATACCCAAAACTTTTTTTAACCCTAACCAACAAGGCATATCAACATTTTCCATTCAAAATTAAACTGATATAAATTCAACATTTTAAAGGATAGGTTCAGATTTTAACATCTATCTTGAAAACATACATCTGTATGTACATTTGAGGCCTTTTTGAATGCTGTAATCATTCCTTCTGTCCATCCTGGCTGTGAGGAAATCCCTTCCTGGCATGGTTCCAATAGAATATGAGGCTCATGCAGCAAATCAAGTGAGTAGGCACTTCATATGGCACTCGTAGGTTTCTCTTACACCATCTCGTACACTGAAGGGATGTCTTTACAGCTAGGTTGAACAGGAGATGTGTGCAATGTGTATATGGGCATGTGAGTATTGTATTAATATAGACTTAAAATATCTAAACCAATCCTTTAATATCCATCGATCCTTACTTACACTCATCTATCCATTTCCTTTATAGCTATCTATGTAAGAGAGACTCAAACACACGTATCATGCAATTCCCGACTAAAGATATTTAAGTTGCAGTATACTTGGTCTGTTTTTAAAAAAAAAAAAACTGCCTCAGAGTAAGATAAATCATTCCAACAAATCTCAGTACAACCACTGTGACTCCAGGTCAGGATCATTTAATGCCGTCTGCACCACCACCAGTCTGCACCAGCTTGAGTAGTGATGGAGGGTAAGGACCACAGAGTAAATAGTGTAGCGCAGTGCAGCAGATGTGAAACACAAACTCAAAACAGAAGGTACATTGGAAAAATACAGTCCAAACTGCTGACACTGCAGTAATCAAAGATCTTATTTCCAGTCACAAACCTGATATTTCGTTTGTGCGAAGTTGGATGAAAAGTTGGAGAAAGTTGCTAGCCATAGGGTCTCTAGTTTTAGCTGCAGGTATTTAGAGACAACAATCCAAATAAAGAGATGTTTATAAGTCACACTATAACACTCTTGTAACACTCTTTCCCTCTACTGAGCAGCTATTTGGGGTGTCAGAATTGCCTCTGAGTAATTGTCAAACAACTGTCAGAGAGGCAGGGCGGGTACTACTGTCCCACTGACTTCCGATAAAGGCATGTTGCTATGAAGGCTGTCTCTTAGACTGTACGTTAAGCCAAGAGACGGGTACGTGCCTCTACCAGGTGCTCTAATCTAGCAACAATAAAACGCCTGGTTTCACATTAGTGTTTCAAATTGGGAAAGAGATATAGAAAACCAACAGAGTGGAAATCATTGGTATGGGCTGGAGCAACAATTCTATTTGAAATATAATACTGCTTGGAAATAAGAGCTGGCAGCTCTGCTGATGTGATTAAAAGTAACTTCTGGCTAAACTAAAGAGGCTTTATGTGAAGGTGGAAGAAAGACCAGGAAGAAAACTTTGCACTGCCTCTAAATCTAAATCGCAATACACTTTTGAAATTGTGAAACACTGAAATTGTGAAACACTGAAATTGAGTATCCTTGACTGGAACTGAATGCTCAGTATTGTTAGTCTTGGCCAAATATTTCCTTATCTAAATCATAACTTTAGTAATGACTGTATGTCAGTTCATGAACAGCTGCTTAAAACACAGTAAATACTAATGCATTGAGACACATTTTGTTATATGGGAAAAAAACCTTGTAGAAAAACATGTTTCTGTTCCTTCAAGGTGGGGTCAGTCATTCTGGAGAAACATAGTTGATTGTTGAGTCTCATTCCCAGGTTGTCAAATACTGACAGTTTGGCAACCCAAAACGTTGGTATTTGACGACCTGGGGATGAGATTGAACACTCTTCTTCTATCTTTCTCCAGAATGACGGACCCCCACCAGTGTTGGTCTGCTGTTTTTGTAAACCCTGTGCCGATATGTAACAAGCAATTTTCACCTGATCTTGAACTAATGTGGTTTCTAGCACTTTCCATTTGGTAGCATGGATTGTTTTAAGAGGTTTTGTTATTGGTGGCTTGCTACTCATAACTGGGCACAGTATGTCATTGTCACCCTTGTCTGTCACATCTGCTAGCAATCCCCTGTCTTTTTCGAAATTGTGCTTTACACTGGATATTCGCAGGCAAGCAGTCAGGCTGAGTCCTCTTGTAACCAACACCGTACTCTGTCCATGAGGGCCAGGATGTCTGGACATCAACTTTAGCTTTCTGAGCCCAAGCTAGGTGGTCGTGGTCCAGTGCGTACGGAACAAGTGAAAGCTTCCTGTGGGGATGTGAGCAGTAAGGCAGCACCATCAATCAAACTAAATAAGAAAGGCAGCAGAGCTGCCACTGGTCTAATTCAGCATGCAGGCGAGGGGACACTTCTCAACATACTACAGTTTAAAAAAAAAAGTCTTATTCTTTCTTTCTTTTCCATTTTTCTTTCTTTACACACACTCAATTCGTTTCTGTGCCAGTGACTACTCTGCCATGTACCAACGTTGGCAGCAATGCCTGAGGTCACAAACCCGACCCTCCCGGCTCTAATCCTACCACTAACACTCAGCCAAAACATATTCTCATCCTGGCCCCAAAACTTTTTAAATCCCCTACTACGCTTTTCCTATTGTTTCTGGCCTTCACTGTGTAATTCTGCTATACGTAAAAATGTTTAATTAAGTTGAATTAACTATTGATGTTAATTAATTAATTAATCAATTAATTAGCACAACATCTGGTTTGGCCCCCATTACTTTTTCCATTAAAACCAACATTACAACATTTTTATTGCAAATACTAATTCTGAGCCAAACTTGTAGGTCCAATCCTAACCTCCAACAGCTTTAACTGTTCAGCAACCAAATCAGCTTCACAAATTGCTTTTGTAATTTGTCCTGTAATTGGTAAAGTAATGGCTATAGCATTTGAACTGGAAAACCTCCACTAAGAAGGTTTACTTCATCTAATCGACATTATTAGAGGAACTGGTGTCATGATGTGACTGTTTCTGTGAGGCTTTAATTGTCAAAGTTATAACGTTTTAATAAAACGATAGTCATTTGCAAAACACCCTGAAGATCAATATACTTATTCTGAGACATCCTATAGTTGAGAGCACAATTGCCAAAAACTGAGCAACATGGGACTTGATTTTTTCACAAAGTATTTTCCAAGTATTTCATTATTCATTCCATTTTATTTATTCATGAGCAGCAGGTAGTGACAGAAAAACGACCAATATGTTTCCTCACATATTGACTTGTGCCCATCTATTGCAATATTCATTATTATACTTTGTTTGTGGTTTCCGTGGTGTAAATAAATAACTAAATTGTTTCCAATTGATTAATTTAATTGGCAGTTAACACTGGAATCATTGACGCAATAATCAGAATATGAGTTTGCTATAAACTAAATCACATACTAATTAATGGACTGTGATGTAACTATGACCCCTAGGGGCACATGTTTGTTTTTTTTTTGCCCATATGCTCAACAGGGGAGCAAAAAAATAAAATAACCTATTTCCCATTCCCACAGGAGGAAATCAATAATTAACAGACAGGAAGTTCCTGCTGCAGGCTGTATTATTCAAACAACAGGTTGGACAGGGAATCGAAATAAATGACGTCTACCTTAGCACTGAGATGCAACGTGGTTATTTCATTGACAGAGAACAAACTGTGAACTGTGCTCTCGCTGTTAATAGCGCAGGCAGCTAAATATCAGACTAAAGCTGAATTATCTGACAACGATTTCTCACCGGGCTCCCCCAGTTTGTTGTCCTCTCAGATGACAAAGGTGCACATAGAGCCAACTTGGATGGAGAAAAAAAAAGAAGTAGAAAACTTTGCAGAAAAGTTGACTTTGTGTTCCAGCTACTTTGCTTCTGACTTTTTTGAGCAAAAGTAGGACAAAAACAGGACATCAGTTATGGTTGATTGCCCTGACCATTCAAACAGAAGTGCACAAAGATGTAAGAGAGTTATCCTGATACAAGAGGACATCATTGCCAATTTCAGCAGTTGAACAGAAAAGTAAGTTTTACTATCATGTATTGCTCCTAGGAAGTAAATAGTAAAAGTAAAATGAAATGATAAGCAAAATAAAAATATTACTTCTTAACCACCCTTGCTTACTCTGGGCCATTTTCTTTGATATGTGTGATCAAAAGGCATAGATCACTGTGAAATAAGCTCTCTCAGTGGAGATGATGGTATGGGTGTAACACAATGAGTTCATGGCCTGTGTACTGTACATGTGCCTTTTTGATTAGAGGTTAGAAACTGTGTGTGCATGTGAGTGTGTGTGCACATGGTTGCACTCTTACCCTGTGGACTGTTATCCCTCTGTGTTCTCTCCAACGCAAAAGCTCTCTGGCCCCATTCTTCCTCTCTCTCATCTCTCACCCTCTCCAGCCCTTCCTCACTGGTTTCCTCGCCCTCCCATGACACTTTGTGGGCTGGACTATGCTCTGAGCGGCACGCCGATGCTGAAGGGAGATTGGGTGCCACGCTGCACACTGCAATTCCCCTCCTATTGGCCACACCTCGGACGTTAGATATGTCTGAGAGGAAGCTGCTGAACTGTAGAGATGGAAGAAAACTCCAATGAAAAAAATAAAATCCAATGAAGAGACCAAACTATTAAAACACATCAGTGAGAAGTACCATTGAACTGGATAACATTTTCTTTTATTATGATGAACAACAGCGTTTTGACTGAATCCAACAAGTGCAATATTATCCCTGTTTAGTAATATTTCCCTGATTATATAATATATTATACAATCCCCAGCTGTTTTAGGAAATTATTTTGCCCATTTTAAAAAAGAAAATACACATTTGTGACACATTTTTAAATATTTATGTCTTCACTACGAACGAATGGGCCACTGAGGGGAGGGTGCCAAAGTTATGAATTTTGAAATTCTCCACAGTGGGGCACTAAATAAAAATTATTTTTCAATCTTGTAAGCTTTTTAATCGTACAATACCTTTCACCGGTTCAAAAGTAATAATGGGAATATTGGTTTAATTTTATTGCCCCATATTATATCTAAACTGCATCACTCTCACTTCCTGCCATAGAAGCAGTTTTTTCATAGTGCGACGCTGAGGACAGGGAACCCTTCCTCAAGCACAACATGGCTGTTCACAATTTACAAGGGTAATAATATCCTGGGTCTCTTTCAAACAATAAAAAGAACCGAATTACAGAAGCACAGCGTCATGAAATTGAGGAACTAGAAGACATGCTGATATAAATATTGATATTATGATATAAAATTGATATAAGGCTTTGGATTTTTATTTTGTTTTATTTTATTGGCAGTATATAGTATGGAAATATTTATCTATTTGTTCATTTTTCAATATTTCCCAGCTCTATCTAATTATTTTCCTGTGATTATTATTAAAACTGCCATGATTAAGTCGTCCTGTAAGGTGATGGTCATTGTATGATACAGGAGACACAAATATAAATTCTAATCATTAATAAATGCCTATGCACACTTGGCATACCTGACTGCCTTCACTGGAAGTGGTCTTGTCACCATCCCCACTCCTCATGCCCTGGTTGCTGAGTCCTCCTGGTAGAGGGGAGTGGGCAGTCGGACGCACCATGACCTGGGGAGGACCCCCAGTGCTGCCTCCCACTTCACCATAGGTGCTTGTGGTCCCTGGTGAACCTGATACACGCACGGCTTTAAACTCAATCCCTTCAGCCCCCATGCCAGTCTTGCGCAGCATGTAGCTGGTTTCTGTGGAAATAGCTGACACACCCATGACAACCTGAGTCCCTGGGCCCGGGTCGGACTCTTTCCTAAATTTGATTTTCTTCCTAAAGGCTATGAAGAGTATGAGGAGGAGAATGATGACAAAGGCAAGGACCCCAATGCCAATTATCTCTCCTGGTCCGATGTAAGACAGGGGCTCCGCCTGGGAAACAAGAAGAGAAAAATGTATAAAAACGTGGATGGGACTGGATCTCCAAATGTATTACCGTCTGGTGGAATCGTAGCAGCAACAATTTAGAGAATTTCCATGTTTAGAATTCACTTCCATTCAGATAAAGAACAATCACATATTTCCAACTTGCTGAGAAAACTCTGCACATGTCGACATAATGAAACCTTTCCTAAAAACGTTAGTCATCAAGGGGTCAAGCTACAAAGTGTGCTTTTTCCCCCCCGTCTGCAACATTAGTACATATTCCTTTAAAATCAACCAGGCAGCCACATGCCAGCTATAGTCATATGCATGTTTGATGGTGGAGTGTAAAGTTGACCATCCACCCACTTGTACCCTATAAGTAGGGAGATGAACGTAAATGAAGACATCACTAGTTAAAAAGACCACCAGCATTACATTTTGACATTTTGTTTCATGTGATGTTGGATACATTTTCTATTTCTTTTCAAAGAATCACATTTTCGTTCTTGCAGTATAGAGCAAATGATTAATTCCACAGGTTCTTGTTTTAATAGAATACGTGATGAGTAGGCTTCAGTCAAAAAGTGGAACTTTTATTCTAGCAATAGACGCCCTCAAATGTCCTTAAAACAAACAACGTATCTATTGGTTGTGAAAGCAGCATAATAGGTTTTGTCGACTATGGTTACTTCTCTAATTACAGTCTTCTAGGGAATAATGAAAGCACCTTCCTTCTCACAATGTCTAACATTAATTGGGCTTGCAGTCTCAATATAAGTTATATAGTGCGTGAAAAAAGTCAAGAGCGTGACAACTTCAAATGGAAACTGTGATTTACCCATTACCACACTTTCATTCATCTACTGCAGAGACAAACATGCCAAGCTGGTGAATAAACCTTCCCGGGAGGCCACTGCACACTCAAAATTCTCAACAGCTTCAGTGAGTATGCCAAGTCACATTAGGAGCAAGCTGAATGCGCAAAAAGACAGCCAAATGCGAGTACCTTTTGGATTATACTTGAGTATATTACTCCTACCTAAATTCAGTTTCATGTGTTGTTCATATTATACCTGCGTGTCATCTCCCGGATCACCAGCCGTCATATCATCACAAAATTGACCCTCGTACCCCTCTGAACAGTTACAGTAGAACGACCCAAATGTGTTGACACACTCTCCTCCATTTCCGCACTCGTCCTGGTCGCACTCATTTACATCCTCATCACATCTGCAGAGGCAAAGACAAATAAATTGCTATGCATTGGGAGTGGTGAATTTGATTTGTATCAAAGTGAAAGAGAAGAATAAAAGATGAAAGCGTGACAGTGAGTTAAAAAGACAAAACGAAAATAAATACTTTGGAGATCATCTTTTCAGAGGCCCTTTCTTTAGCTAAATCAGGGGATTATCTTCATAGATTCTCCATTATCCTCATTTACATGGTTCTGATTTAAAGAAATATGCTGCAAATATACACACACACACACAAACATACACACAGACTAATACTTTTAGACGGAGATGTAAATTCCAACAGAATCACAAATGCAATTTTACTCCACACACATGCGTGCTCATCTTATCTTGTCATTGCAAACATGGCGTCCTGCTGTGCGAGAGATAGAAAATACTTCTTCTAATTTTTCTTTTCAATTATTTTTTCTTGATGGGATTTTCAAAACACTGTACAAGAGTTGGTTGGATGTAAGAAGAAAAAGCACTTTTTATTAGGGCTGGAAACTTCCTTGCATTGCTATTCAAAATTTTGCTTTAATGATAAAAATGTAGTGGCAACAGGGCGTGGTTATATGGGCCAGTGATATACACTCATGAATATTTTAATGTATAACCCAATTAATAAACTTTATGAATGCAGCAAGTTGTGTATAGTATTTCTGAGTCTATGACTCAGCTTTTAAAGGGAAATTGTCATCTGATGAACACAGATTGTGATAATGTTTTGAACAATCTGCTGCCTGAACATTAAAAATATATATATATAATCAGTTAAATTTAATTTAATCCAACAACCATCATCATTTTTACATCACTGTCAAAATCATGAAAAAGCAGAAGTATTTTCTCTTTTGAGGGAAAACTGCTCTCTAGTGGTGGCTCCACTGAACAACCACATGAGCAGAGAGGTTATTTGAAAGGCAATTACTGAGCTGTAATTAAGAAGGAAGCTGGAGAATGATTATAGGCTTTTCAACCTAAATTATACTGAATTTAATTAGAAACACTAATTTATCTCACACAATAACAACTAAAACAACACAGTGGAGGCTGGGGCGCTAATGTGGGCTAATGAGTGTGTGTGTGTGTGTGTGTGTGTGTGTGTGTTTATGATTCCTACACGTGTTCTCTCATTTTTGAATGTGTATGAGAGGGGAGATGTAGATGTTAATGTGTCTAAATCAACACTAACCTAACTGTTGTTTTGTACATACTGTTTAAACACAGCAACACTGTTTTTATTAGTCTGTAATTAAGGTCTAAATGTTTGTGTGTGTGTGTGTGTTATTGCCAGGTATCTTATCTTACATAAGTCCCCTCAGTCCTTTGGGACAGCCACAGAGGAATGCAGTGCCTACAGGCTTACAGTCCCCACCGTTCTGGCATGGGTTTGGCATGCAGGATGTCAATTCAATTTCACAGCGCCCCCCAGTGAAACCAGCGCTGCAACTGCACATGAAGCCTGTTGGAGAGAGATTAAACATACCAGTAAATAACATAAAATCCTGTTGAAGCTCGATTTCATTTGTGAGTAATTGACTGAATATTTAAGTAAGGCACAGACTAATTATATACAAGTTGATGGAAATTAGAATTAGGCAAAAATGAAAATGCTGAAATTAACAACAATTATTTATGTAATTTACTTATACACCCATACACTTTCACACTGTCATCTAAACAGACCTCCAGAGGGCAGGCTGCTGCAAATGGCTCCATTGAGGCAGGGCTGACTAATGCATGGATCTGGAAAAAGCACGCAGCCCAACTTGACCTCGCTCAGCCCGGCAATCTCCGCGTAACGGCTCCTCTTATTCTGGAGTGGCAGCTCGTTGCCGTTCAGCATCAGTGAGCCCAGGCAACCCTGGAATCCATCCTGGGCTCTCGGCGGGACCCTCCCTCCACGGTCCCCGAGTCCTGGCCCGCCCTGGCTTCTCCCTGGCCCTGGGCTTGGCCTCTCACCTTGCCCACTCGGTGGCCTCACTTGGGCCCCGAAGAAAAAGGACGAATCTGGGGCCAGAGGCCAAAGGCGAACTGGGGCTCGGGCTGCTCGGCGGCGCTCCACATAGCTGTCATCCAAAGACAGGAGGGTGTAGTTCCTAGTGAGCTCCAAGGCTACGGCATGCCAGAGGCCATCGTTTATTGGTCTGCCAGAGATACCCATAATGCCAAGGGTGTTGTCACAGTCCAACTGGAACCAGAGTCGACCCCCTTCAATCTGTGGAAGGAAAGGGAAAAAATTAGAAGTTTATAAATGATGCTACCTCTAAAATACAGTACGCCAAGTATTAATAAAGTAATGTAATAGCATTATTGTAAATGTGTTTACCTTGAGCATGGTACAAGGGTTAACACGTGTGAACATAATGACTCCTGTTCTCTGAAGTGTTCTGATTCTCAGGCCAAGCCTCATCTCCCCACTCTGGCCACTCTCTGTCACTCTGTACTTGATGTAACTGTTTCCAGAGAAACTCAGAGAGGTCTGGCCTACACATTAACAAAACACACAGAGGATTAAGGAATGAAATTAGATGAAAAAAATGTATTTGTGGAAAAAAAGACAAATAATATATAATCAAATCCTTGCAACATGGTAGTTGTCTACCAAGGAAGGACCAAATCATACCTGCACACTCGTCTAGTCTCTCAGGCTGGCACTGGCAGACAGATGGCGCTGTAGGACCAGAACGGACACATTGCATGTCTGCTGGACAGGACTGACCTTCACAAAGCTCCACAGGAGTCGGGCATGACCCGCCTGTTTGGAAAGACACACAAACATTAGATAATAATCAGAATATCATCTGTCTTCATATGAAAAAAAAAACATTTATTTTATTACTTAAAGTATGTATGCATTCTTGTATGCATAACATCTTTAGTTAGATTTATTCAAATATAAGAAAATACAATATCAATCTTATAAAAACCAACAGACACAAAATATATTTAAGTACATTTAGAAAAATATCTACAATTTGAAACACTTCAGGATTTCACTGATTTTTATATCAAAACCTATGACCAATACCAGAAATGTACTGTTACAAGCAGCTAAGACAGATATCGAGGACACTAGATTGCAAGCTCAAGCATTAGTGCAGTGCTCACCAGGGCAGGTGCAGATCTCTGTAGGGCTGAACCTTGGTGACACCAAGCTAACCCTCTCTGTGCTGTAGGTGATAGGCGAGCCACCCTCAATCACCAGTGTCTGTTCACACACCCTATCACCACACTCCAGCTCCCCAGAACAAGCACTGCTCACCACCACTGCCCCAGCTAGGACACCTCGAATCTGGCCACGCTCTGCGGCTTCCTCCAGCTTTGCAGACAACTCTTGTGGGGAGTAGAACCCACCCGATGTCTCTGGACTCTCCATGGCCAGAAGCAAGTCCACGTGGGATGTCCCCATCACTGACTGTACACTGAGTATGTGAAGGGGATCCTGTTGTCCTGGTGACCATTTCCATCCGGCTAGTCCCCGTAACATTAGTTTGATCTGGCTCAGATAGCGACCAAGCAAGTCCTCTGGGGTTAGGGAGGTGAAACGCAAAGTCAGGGCGCTACGCAGCAGCACGTCTGTCACCTGCTCGACCTGGACTGACACATCAGCTATCACAGCGAAACGTCCATCACTCACTGTGGCATTCATCTGGTACCTAAGAGAGAACAAGTAAATGTGTTTTTGTCATATCAACCAGTTTTTAGCCAGTTTTTGTATGTGTACTAGAGAGTGTTTTTGTGTGTTGTACCTGCCAGGTTCCAGGCCCGGCAGAGCCACAATGCTGCCATCCTGTCTGTTTATCTTAAACATGCTCTTGGGCTGAAGTTTCTGGGTAAACGACAGCACGTCATTGGGGTCGCGGTCGGTTGCATAGATCCGACCAATTGGCCCGCCTGGGAAAGTATCTGTTACCATGACAATGAAAATTTCCAAGGGAGAGACGTTGGGTTTGTACTGACTGTTCCCGATGACCCTCAGAAATGTCCAGGAGGAAGAGGTAAGTCTTGGCTTACCAGAGTCACTCACCTAAGAGACCAAAACAAAGTTTCAGTAAGATATTCAATAACTCAGATCAAAGAAACTACGGACTAAATATAGACTGAAAAAAAAATACTAATGTTCATAGGATAAAGATAGTTATAAGACAATGACAAAGATAATGACATTGTTATGACATTGATTGGTCCCTTGGTGCCGCCATGTTCAAAGAAATGCTGCAAAAATCCCCTCTTGGATGTCCCTATGGTGGTTAAAAAATGATAAAGCCCCCCTCTACGCTGGCCCAATGTGCAAGAAAAGTGATGCAGTGCCCTCCAGGATGCCCTTCCAGTAGAGAAAACGTAATGAAGTGCATGCAGCTGATGCCCTTTTAATCTTTTTTACTCATGCCCCTTAGACAGTCTAAAGAGTCCACCACTGTGAAGCAGCAGTAGTACAGCACAAAAGCTCCTTCCATGCGACCATATTAGTGGTGTTAATAGCTTCTCTATTACAGAAATGTTTTTATATAAGGCTAGTTTTTTAAACCAAAGACTCTAATAGCCTGACAGAGTGAGTAATGGGCAGCTCCTAATGTTGAAGTGTATTTGTCAGTCAACTTCTCTTGAATAAATGGTGGTTAAAATACACCCGTCGCCAACCTGGATTTCAAGAGTGAACTCTCTGGGGGCTTCAGGGCCAAACAGACGGTTGGACCTCAGAGTTCCAGTCTGGTCCAGGGAGAAGAAATTTCCCTCATTTCCTGACACGATGCGAAACTCAAAGGGGGGGCCATTTCTAGGAGAGTCTTTATCGCTGACTGACAGCTTCAGCAGGGTGGTGCCAGCAGCTTGGTTTAGCTGGAAGCATGAAGAGAGAGGAGTTGAGATGACGCTATCCCTAAAACACACAAACATAAGCAAACGCGCACAGGCTGTTACCTGTATGATGGCTGTGGAGTTGGGAGGGTTGAAGACGGGAGGGTTGTCGTTAACATCGGAGATGTCAATGTTAAGGGTGACAGTGGAGGACATGGCAGGAGAGCCGCTGTCGAACGCCTGCACTGACAAAGCGTACCTGGACACCTGGGCGGAGCAGAAGGGGATGAGAATGCCATGATAGCATCTGTATGTATCAGGCACTGTTAGGCTTGCATAATACGAGACATCTGACCTTGAGCGGACTTGGTATTTTCTGTCTTGGCTGTGCTCATGAACCAGAAAATTACTATTGATTGTTTATGAGATATTGTACTTAAAGATGCATCCTTACTAGTTCTCTGTCGAGACGCTTATTGACTTTGAGCAGTCCTGTTACAGGGTCAATCCAAAAGTGGTTACTCCGGTCACCTTTCAGGATAGAGTAGGTGATACGCCCATTCACCTGGCTGTCCAAGTCTTCTGCCAATACCTAGAAATAACACATATGGGGTGAGACAAAAGTTAATGAAAAAGAGGCAAAAGTACAGAAAGACCAATATGAAGTCAAATTAGGTTCAAATGTTACCCTTGTAATTGTCTGCCCAACGGACGCATCCTCGCTGACCAAAACATTATAGATGTTCTGACTAAATGTGGGAGCGTTGTCGTTGACGTCCATGAGTTCGATGGTTACCATGGTGGCAGTGCTGAGAGGGGGGTTCCCACTGTCCCAGGCCTCAACAGTTAGGTAATAGTCCTTACACACCTCAAAGTCCAAATCATCAGCCACAGAAATAGAGCCTAAAACATACACATAATATCATATAGGATTCAATTTAATACAATACAATACCTGACGATGCAAGGACATTTGCTCACCCAGGTTTCTGTCTATGGCGAACTTTCCTAACTCGTTGCCTGACCGGATGTGGTACGTGATTTCAGCATTAGGTCCAATGTCAACGCTCGTGGCTAAGACTCGCAGCACCTCGGTTCCCACAGCTACATCCTCAGGGACGGTAACAGCGTAGTCCCGCCTCTGGATGACTGGAGCGTTGTCGTTCTGATCCAGCACCAAAATGGTCAAATCAACCTGAGGGAGAAACAAGAAACAGTTAACAGAGCCCACTAGCAATTCATTTGTCTGCGCTGCTCCAGGCTCGGAGTTCAGTTTCAGCACCATGGACTGTGGCCCCACATACATTAATGGGAGCAAAAGAGACTGAAGGTTTTACTAACAAGATAGGGGACTGAGGAAAAATCAATTGAAGTCTGTATCCACCAAAGCCTGAGAGAGAATTTCTTGGCCGTACATAAATGTTAAAGATCTGTGGCATTACTGAGTCAGACACATTCTGTTTTCGCTCTATTCAGCTTATCTGCTACTGTCACTTTGTTCCTGCCTTTTGGAGGGAGGTTCAAACATGCGTCTGTTTAAAACAAAGCTGTGATGTTACATAATCAAACAGTAAACCATTTTCTTTTGTTTGGAAAAAAAGATTTATTTTTAAAGCTGCTGCCGTGTGCTCTTTGAATATCAATACTTTTAGAATCCTCCTAAACATTTTATTTTGGAAGGACTTGTTGCAAATAGAAATAACAAAACTAAAACGGATTAAATCTTAAAGGATTGGAGAAGTTTATTGTAGCTGAGGGTTGGGAAGAGTTAGCTATGATTAGGTGTAAGGTTAAAAGTGGTTACAACTTGGTATTAGTTTAGATGGTTATCTCTATTCAAGTGTAGAAATGTGCACTGGTAGGTATAAAGTTGGATAGATGGAAAGTTGCACAGATGGTTAAATTCTAGTTTGGCATGGGTTTGGTCCCACCAGTCTTTCCTGACATACACAAGCAGCATAGAGCAGGTACACTTGATTCCAGTTCCACTTACTGCAAGTGAGATGTCACAAGTGCTAGTAGTATTTCATTCTGTACTTTTATTATATTACTATGCCTACTACAGATGCTGCTACAACTCCTGCAACCACTACTGCTGCTTGCTGTCATTATAGCTATAACTTCTGCTATTTGCATCAGCAGTTGTAATAATATCTATTGCTACAAAACGTAATATTCAGTTTCAGCACCATGGACAGTGGAAACTCTAGACATAGACGAAAATCCTGAATTTGTTCAAAATGGCCACACCTGACCTCACTTTGGCCTGGAGTTTACTTTCAGCTTGTTTTATGGTCTTTTCCTCCTCTTTTCTGCCTCTGTAACTCTCACCTTGCCCATCCTTCCCATCCCACCCACTGCACAATTTGATGAAGATTTATCTTGATTAAATCTACTAGGTTCTTTATCTGATCTCTTCAGTAAACAACATGTTTTTATTCATTGGCTTTTCTTATCCATGCGTATGGAGAGAAATACAGATTGCACACCACCAGATGGACGAAACCATGGCTGACTAATCTGCAATTTAATATGTAGTGTATGAATTCTAATTACATTATAGAGGTAACATGGTTGAATACAATCCATCTATCTATTAATCTATTTGTGCTTTTAGAAATATTTGATGTTAATTACTAAAAGCTGTGTTGATTACTCTGTATCTGAGTTAATTTCTCAGAATACCATAATTAAATCATCTAAAACATAAATGTTGTGAGACTGTTCCAATAATGCAACCTACAATTTTATTTTTTATTTTTTTATTTTTTATTTTAGAATAAGTGTCAGTTTTTTGGGATCATGAGTGACAGTCCTCGCAGTTAGGTTTAGTGCACATACTGGGTAGAAAGACAGAAATACGACTGAGATTTGTTAGTGTGAGATGTGTCACTGGTGCCACCAACCTGTGAGGACAGTGCACCTTGTTGCCCAGCTTGATCAGTGGCCTGGACACGAACACGATAGGTGTCTTGGCTCTCTCTGTCCAGAGATCTCTCCAGAATTACCATCCCAGTCACCGGGTCGATGGAGAAAAATCCACCCACTGAATCCACCAGAGAATAGACCACAGTGCGGTTAAGACCTGGAGGGAACAGATAAATTCATACACACCAAGAGGTTTAGATAAATGTTCAAATGCTTAGTAACACAGTGGCTTGAGCCTGCATTCAGGATATGTAGGATTCTGTTTCTGTGCTCATTGTCATACTTTCTTGACGTGTTACAAATCCATCATATAACAGCATAACATCATAGCAGCTTACCTTCATCAGGGTCACTGGCTTGCAGCCGGGTAAGCAATGCCTTGGGTGCAGCATTCTCATACACACTAGCCAGATAATGAGTTGAGGAGAATGAGGGGGCATTGTCATTCACATCCAATACTTTGAGTGAAATGTCAGAGCGGCAGAACAGCCCTCCTCCATCAGTTGCCTGGGCAATGAGTTTGTAGGTGGGTGTCATTTCTCGGTCCATGACAGTGGCCGTACGCAGTTCACCTTAGGTCCCAAACAGAGAGGTGGATAAAGATGTATAAAAGATGTGTAATCTATGGTGTATGTATTGTTTTGATAATACAAAAACCTAAAGAAAAATTATAACTGAATGTACCAGTGTTTGCATCCATGTAGAAATCTTCGACCCCGATGCCAAACAGCGAATACTGAATTTCAGCGCTGGAGCCCGAGTCAGCGTCTGTTGCGCCCACTGTCAGGATGCCCTTGTTAGTGGAAATGTCTTCAGGAAAAGAGGCGCTATACACCGCCTGGCATAACACACATACACAGATATAGCACAGAGCGAAACCACACTGCCTGAAAAAATAAAACAATCTGTCCAACACATAAAATACATTTAACTGTTGGTCGCTGCATCCATTATCCCTGCTGTTAGAATGAGCACACCAGAGTTAAGTGCCCTCTCCTGACCCTGCCTATGGAAAGGAACTTTGTGACCTCACTATTTCATCGAATACAGGGCAGCACAATGGGAAAACTACTGTAGTATGTACAGTATGTAGTGCAATGTAGCATATCCCACCATGCTGCTTTTGCTCTGTACTTCAGAGCGATCTTGTAAATGATTTTAGAGCTGAAATGATTAGCAACTATTATGATATTTCATAGTTTAAGTCATTTTTCAAGGGAAAAAAATCTTTACATGTTTGACTACATTTTTAAGGCAATCACATTAGGCTTTGAGAAATAGAAAAGAAATAGTCATTGTGAACAAAAAATAAATTTTTACACTACTTTTAGATTAATTTACTACTCGTATCGCCACTATAATTATCACTAATATTTCCTGTAATGCTTCTACCATGATTAATACTATAGCTAGTAGCAGAACCGGCAGTAATACACGTACTTCTACTGCCATTATTGCTACTACCACTTAAACAACTAACTGCCACTAAGAGCCACCACCAATACTTAATGCTGAAATGCTATTGTTTCTCTTGTTACTACTAGTACTTCTTACAACAGGTACTACAACTACTATTGCTATTACTACTACCACTTAATAATTTAAAAAAACATGAGAATATTGTGCTAACAACATAGTTATAGTGCAACTGACTCGTAATGTCTTTTGATCCATTTGATGCTGCTACTGTGTGAGAGTAAGCACTTCATAGCTACACAGGTTGGACTTTTGGTTGGAGAACAGAAAGAATATAAGAGGAGGAAGGGGAGACAGGGAGGATTGATTTCAAAGAGAATTAGTAAAAGTTTAGAGCGAGAATGAAAGTTTCTCAACTAATGATATGAAATTGAAGAATTGCAGAATACTACTAAATGAAAAGATATATCCCCAAAAGACTTCACAGCCCAATTATCTTCCCTTTTCACACGTTTCCTCTCGTAGATCAGCTTTTTAGGATGAGTCTTAAAGGTGCAAGGTAGGAATTAGCACAAAAGCTAAAGTTGATTGTTTTTTATCACTGATTAATTTCATTTGTTTGTGTAACTTCTTTAATTTGTATAATTTAAAGAGCACAGTTTATCAGCTTTTCACTGTGGGCATTTTTTAAGATAATTATCATATTATACACTATATAAAAGCCCAATCTAAATATACAATGCATTCCCTGATATTTAGTACAAAGACATTTGTTTGAATAAACTGTAGAGCAGAGAATCAATATTCTAAGTGAACAAATCCTGTTCTACTACAGCACCAGATTTTGGCTTTTTACTGTCATGCATAAAGTATGCAAATTTTAACATTATTCAACGGAATCATTTTCTGAGCTAAGCCACCCTTAAAATTGCCCAAGAGGAAGTTCATCATTGTGGCTATTGGGGCCTCAACTAACTAATCAACGCTATATGATACGGTGTATTGTCATCAGGTATTGGTAATTCTAGTAAAATGTAGTATAATGTAACATAGTTTTTGTGCATTCATTCATACAGCTTTGTGTTTAGTAATTAAAGAGGGTGGTTGGGGGGGGCTACCTCACTGATAAATTATTCATTAATGTTTAACAAAGAAGCAGGTAGTCTACAGCGAAAAATTGCCTTTTCATTAATATTTACTGTTTACTATTTACATTGACTGAATTATTGTATGATGTATTCAAAAGGCATGTATGTTTTCTATTTTTAGACAAAGCACTTTAGCCTGGAGACAGCAGATAAAGGCAGTTACTCTAACATGAATTCTAAAAAAGCAAAATGACATAGTACTTCATCTTCCTACATTCCACAGTCTGATCTATGTTTGATTGCTTTGATTTTTTTCTACCCATTTCCATCTGTCTGAATCCCTGACCTGGTTGCAGATGGGACTGTTGTCATTGGCATCCATGACGGTAACTTCCACCGCAGTACGAGCGACATACAGACCATCACTGGCTGTGATGTTGAGCAGATACCAGTCCTGCTGCTCACGATCCAGCAGACCACTCACATAAACCTTCCACTCTCCCTGCACCAGGGCAAGGCCAAACACGCCCCTCGGGTTTCCCCCTGGAGATTACATACAGGTGGAGATTAAAAAGCTGACACCCCACCACAAAGAAAGAGGTGAGGATGATTGTAACAGCCCTGTGAACAAACTGAAAGACTTTTTCATTCAAAGGATGAATAAGCATCAGTTCCCCACCCACACGCACCAACATACACACACACAGACTAATGCAGGTACCCTTTGGCACAATCAATAAACATCTATCATCATAGTAAACCGGGCTGGTGGTGTACCAGCAATGGCCTTTCAAAGTTCAAAAATTTGACCTTTTATTACAACTCTTCCATTAGGCCAATCAGTATTTTTAAATGCCAGAACACGAGGCCAAAATATATCATCCTTAGTGATGATCAGACAGTGTTATGTGAGTGGAAAACATCAAGCTCAGTGTCAAGGTGAGAGTTTTGTTGGAGAGGCCTCACTGTGTTTTTTTTATTACTCCCATAAAATCATCACTACTAGAATAATTTAAAGCAGCACGTTGGTTGATTATATTAAAAACTATATAATACAAACTATAGTTCGTCACTCAGCATTGTTCTTTCTTCCTGTCTGAGAAATGAAAGTGTGAATATACAGAGTTTCTCTGCCTCGCTTGAAATGTTTTGTATAATTGTATACCTTGTAATATTAAAATGAAAACAAAATGTAAAAATAAAGGTTAGCTGTGTTTGACATTTGGGTTAAAATTAGCTCAAGGTTTGACCTTTAATAATAGCAGCCCCATTAGGCCAATGAATAATTTTTATGCAACACAACCTCATCTTACTGCATGAGGGAAATTTGCTGCAGCACAGAATGTGTTGAACTACATTACGTTAGTGTGCCCTTCATTTCCTCACCGGTGATGTAAAAGCTGACAAGGCGGTTTTGATCTGTGCCGTCGCGATCTTTGGTTTTCAGCACAGCCACCACCTCACCGAGGGGATCGCTCTCCTTTACTGCACCCCGGTACAGCTCCCTCTCAAACAGTGGTGGGTTGTCGTTAACATCTGACACTGTGATAGTTACCACTGTGGTGGAGGAGAGAGACTGTAACTCTCCCAGATCGGAGGCCACTACCTCAAAGCTGTAGCTGGAGCAGGCCTCGTGGTCCATCTGACTCACTGTGGTGATCCAGCCTGTTTTACTGTCAATAGCAAAAACCGAACTTGAAGTGATGGAGCCAGTGAAGGTGCGAGCCTCTTTTGTCAAGTCCAAGTTGTAGGTGATTAGAGGTCCAAGGCTGTAGGCTACCTGCAATTTAAACATACATAAAGTGGCTTTGAAAAGCATATACAAAACTCTAAAAAATGAAAAATGAAATGACAAAACACTTTGGCAGCAAAATAAAAAAAGAACAAAATACTCAGTTGGGCTGTCACACACCTGTCCATTAGAGCCCCAGTCTGGATCAAGTGCGCGCACTTGGACCACTCTTGTCCCTACAGGCATCCCCTCCATCACCGTAGCTACATAGGTGTTAGTCTCAAACGTTGGCTTGTTGTCATTCACATCTAGAATCTGCAAAATCACAAATCTTCAGTTATAATTATACGTGTCTGTATTTTTCAAATTAATTTGGCACTTAAATTGTGTGAAATTTCTTTATTACAGTTAATAAATAATGTCTGAACTGTATTTGACATTTTAAATGATCTACAACAACCACTTTAACAGAAATGCATCTATTTGTTGAGTTTGTTAGTATTAACACATGCACATTACTTATTTTGTAACTTTGTCACATTCTAACTATATCACCAACCTTAACCTCCAGGTCTACAGTGGAGACAGACTCGATCAGGTCTCTTCTTGTTGTTGCCGCGACCTTAAAACGGAAGATGCTGACCTGCTCATAGTCTAGTGGCTTCATCAGACGGATCAGACCTGTTTCCCTCTCCACCAGGAAGGTCCCTCCCTGGTTACTGTCGAATGTCTCTCCTCCAACTACAGTGAAGAACCCGGTCTGTCCGGGGCCCGTGTACACAGACCCCAGGGCTGTTCCCACTGCCGTGTCCTCTGGGATAGTGAAGGAGTACTGAGGCTGGCTAAAGGAGGGAACAAACGCATCTGGAGGGACGACGTGGATGAAGGCTGACACCAGCGAGTGTTTGGCCGGAGAACCGCAGTCTGTGGCTTTGACAAAGAAGGACAGCACAGTCCCCTGGAGGTGGTCCACAGTGCTTTTAGTCATCATCCAACCGCTGTCTGCCTCCACCTGGGCTCAGGCAATATCACAGTGACATTTAAATCAACTTAGACACAATAATTTTAGTAAAAGAGCTCACATCTTTGACTCTCAGCTTTAACTGGACTCTGTTCGGCCTCTGGCTTGCACTGGGTGGTTTCACTTTATCAATTTTATTTGTCCTTCAACGAATCAGAGGATGGTAACCACTGACCACTGCAGACTGGGAACACCCCACAAGCTGCAGTTTTGGAGATGCTCTGACCCAGTCGTTTAGCCATCACAATTTGGCAGACGCTCAAATCCTCATGCTGCCCATTTTTCTGCTTCTAACACATCAACTCTGGGGACAAAAGGTTCACTTGCTGCTTAATATATCCCACCTACTGACATGTGCCATGATAACAACATAATCAGTGTTATTCACGTCACCTATAATGTTATGGCTGATCGGTGTATATGTTACAACTACTATTATTTTTTTAATATTTATCCATATTATATTAGCCTTTTATACTACAACTTTTTGTTTCATAGTTGTGTTGATTATTTAATTATGTTTCCATTTTGAACAGCAAAGCATTAATCTTAACTGAAAATCATTTTGACTTGATGAGTAAAAATGTATAATTGCAGTTAACAGATGGCTGTTAATCCACTGAAATGGGGTGGGGGTACCATTTGAGAATAGGTCTTAATTGTAAATCAGGGCTATAGCATTAGTTTTGCATTTTAATATGGTTTCATAAATGTATGGAGGTTTGGATCTGGTTACATTTTTGCTTCTTTTTATTTAGGGAACTGATGTTTGCAACTCTATTAAAACTAAAAACACAGCTATGTAAGCAAAGAAGTATGCAAATGTATTTTATTAAGTACAGTAGTCTAAAGCATAGACTATATGTACACAAGTATGTACTGACCTCCAGCACATCAACCAGCGATAGCCGTGCCTCGCTGTAAAGGGAGTAGGTGATCCTCCCATTAGACCCAGAATCTGGGTCAGTGGCTTGGATCTGTGTGACCAGAGAACCTTTGGCAACATTTGCTTTAATGCTCATACGGTACTCCACAGCTCTGAACCGAGGGGCATTGTCATTCTCATCGGCAAGAACAACTCGCACTGTGCAAAATGACGCACGGCCTGGAAAAATAAGAGAACATAAGTTAACATGTGTGGATTTATCAACTTTATGTAGTTTTAATACAGTCAGAATTTGCCTTATTCTACTGCTGCATTCACTGTAAGTCATTCTGGATGATAAAATGTAATGCATCTGTAATGTGAATATGATTAAATATTCATTAAACTTCAGGAGTGTGCAATTTCATTATACAAAGGCTATCATTTTACACTTACAGTGCCTTTACCAAAAAACAGTGACCACTCATGAGTTAATGTTAGCTAAATGTTTGCCCTGCCAGACTTAAAGGTAAGAGGAAGTCTTATATTGGCTGATTTGAGGGTGGCCTTTGTCAGAGAATCAGTTTACAGTCAGTCTGGTCACTGTCAGAAATAATACCTCCACCATCCAGGGCCATAACAGTGAGCACCATGTCCTTGTTAAGAGGATTTTCTCTGTCTAATTTCTGAACGGTGGATATGGCCCCGTCTGCATCAATGGTGAACTGAGTTTTCCCCAAGTCATTGATGAAGGAGTAGGTGATCTGACCAAAGAGCCCAGAGTCCTCATCTGTCGCTCGAACCTGGAGGTCCATACAGAGATTCAGAAATGTCAGATCGATTATTAGGAGGTTCTACAGCATCATTCATGTAGGAAGTTTCCTTTTATAAGTCCTGATGGAAACATTACTGAGTGAGTAGTGAGAGGGCAAACTTACTTGAATGACCTTTGACCCTGGTGGGGCATTTTCTTGGACTTCAGCCAGGTAGAACCTCTGGCTGAATACTGGGCTGTACAGGTTAGCTCCCAACACACGTACAATCACCTAAGGATCACCATCATGGTTATAATCGTCATCCCATCATCATCATCCTCATGTCTGCTGACATTTTGTTGATGCCATCACAGTAATTAACACCAGCATATTTGTCAAACATAATCACATCAACATGGCATGTGGAGCAGCAGTAAGTGCATCAGGCTTCTGACCAAATGGTGATTGATTGATCCAGCTGCAAACACTCTTTGACAATCTACTGTGGAGGTACGCTGCGTTGACATCATGTCAGAAGAAGAAAAAGAAGCAAAAAATGGGTTGACGTGTTATTACTATAACGTATAATGCAGACTATCAGAGTTGTGGGATAGCAGAGTCCCACTTGTAATTACCACTAAGAGACAGATGTGAACATTTCTTTCCAGCTGGCAGCTCATCCTCATAGTAAATCCGATATGACATGAACACACATTAACCTCCAACTGCAGAGCTGCTCAGCAGCCAGTGGTAATAAACAGCAGTCGTACTGGACAGCTGCGAATGTGTGTAACAAATTTGAAGCGAGGGGTTGCTAAAGAAGGTCACTTGGCTTGCTGTGTATAAACACTGCAAAGGTTAAAAAAAGAGCAAATCAGCTGTCAGAAATAAATCGGTACCGCCGAGAAGTTGTCTCACCTGAGCAGTGTTGGTGAAGACTCCATCTGACACGGACACATTTAGTTGATACGAGAGTTTCATGCCTTGTCGCCTCTTGTTAGACAGACTGAGCACCCCTGTATCTGGTTCCATCATAAAAGTCATTCGATCATTCCCAGAGAGAATACTGTACCTGAAGGCAAATTTAAAAAAAGAGTATAATGTTGATTATGTTGTAGTGTAATTTTGCTCAGAAACTGCTAGAAACATAAGCGTCTACTTTTGTGCTCAGCAAAAGACGAATAAAACATGGAGTGAAAATAATTTTTTACAACTGAAACACAAAAACTGCCTGGTAAGCATTGTGCTTTTCTGAACATAATGAACTGAAAAGTTTAGACAAATTCAACTGGGATTTAATGGGAAACTGTGTCCAAAAAATTCTAATCATTGGTACAAAACATTACAGAGGAAACACCAAACCCATAACTTTTAGAAAAGTCTTTTTTCTAACCTCAGCCTATGAGCATCACAGATGTCGGCGTCCGACGCCTGAACACATGTTACAAAGTGTCCTTGGGGAGCCAGCTCGCTGACAAAAGCCTCGTACAGCGCTTGGCTGAAATTAGGTGGGTTGTCATTTGTGTCTGTAACAGTCACAGTGACACTAACATCGCTGCTGAGGGCAGGGTCTCCGCTGTCCGTCGCTCGGACAATGAAGTTGTAGCGCTGGATGAGCTCATAGTCGAGCATACGTGCCGTGAATACCAGTCCACTGTTACTGTCGATGTGGAAGTAGTCGGTGCTGTTGTAGATGTCAGATAGGATCTGGTAACTCACCACGGCGTTCTTCTCTGAGTCTTGGTCCTGGGCAAACACCTACACGGAGAGTAACATTTAACTTTGCACTTGCTCATGCATTATTCAGGTTAGGTCTGATTTGTTTATCCTGACAACAGTGCCCACACTGAGTCCAAATGAAAAAAGGAAATAAAGTTCTGGGTTTCACTGAGATCCTGTTAGAGTAATATTGCTTTTTAAAATCACATTATCAAGCACCTGGCATGATCATTTTGTTGCAGCGCAGTACTTCAGCAAAAGCGTAATTATACTGTACGTGCAATCATCATCGGGTTATCAATTACAAAACCGTAATGTGAAAAGAATTTCAATAGCCTGACATTCTTGTGGAGGTAGAGGATACAACAAAATAAAATCCTATCCTATAAAACTCCCAATTTTACCACAATTAAAAAGCTCTGTGTTTCAAGGCGTATATATAAGTGCATTAGCAATGCATGGCCTGCAACTAAGCAAGCCCAAGTTTATTTTAAGGCATGATAAATATTTATGTGATCCAATATTCTTAGATTGCTCTTCTGATTTTTGCTGAATTTAATAATATAGTCAAATAAGGCCATTAACCTATTTTGATGATTGGCTCACCTCAAAGAAATTGTTAGAGTAATCAATTCAATTTTTCGATTCGATTTGGTGTCTTAGAATTGTCTTAGAATTGTCTTTGAGCAAACACGCTCCTCAGTGCAATAACATCACGGGTCTATTATTCGCTGAAGGTCAAGAGCTTCCACTGGGAAATTTCTAGGGAAATATCACACTATCTTCCCATAAATAAATGATTCAGCATCTAATATTCACCCACAATACCACTGAAGTGAGTCTTAGGTGTACACAATCATTCAGAAAGAGTACACACTGGACTGACTCAATAAACAAAGACACACACCTGTAACACGGTCGTTCCGATCATGGAGTTCTCAGCCAGCACAGAGGAGTATGAGTTGTTCTGGAAGAGTGGTGGGTTATCATTCATATCCAGCACGACGATGTCTACATCAACCTCAGACTTCGCCCCAGTCAGTGTATCTGTAGCCTTCACCGTTAACCGGTAGTACTGCATGGTCTCAAAGTCTAATGGGTAAATGACACTGATGATTCCTGTGTCAAAGCCAATGTCAAACTGGAAGGAAGGGTCTCCATCCGTGATGGTGAAGATGACGCTTTGTCCTTCAGGACTCGTGGCATTGATGCACAGTACAGAGGTGGCCACGGGAACATCCTCTCTCACAGTGACACCATAGAAGGGCTTGTCAAACACTGGCATGGCTTTATTTACTACAGTAACAGGAACCTCCACCGTGCTGGACAGGGAAGGGAAGCCACCATCAGTGGCCACAAGGACCACTTTGTACTCTGCATTAGATAAGTCTGCTTCAAAGGCCCTTTTTAAGGTCAGCTCTCCTGTCACAGGGTTCACCTGCATATATATAAGAATGTATACACTCATGAAAAATGTATATCCCCACATATTAAATTAAGAAAACATTTAAGAGCAGGAAATAGTAGCTCTCACCTGAAAGTTCCTGTGCTGCTCCTTAAGGCTGTAAGTAACATCACCATTCAGACCGTCATCTTGGTCAACGGCTGTGACCCTGAAAACAGTGGATCCTGGCTCTGCTTCCACCTGCACTGCAGCGTAGTAGGGGAGGTTCACAAACTTTGGAGCATTGTCGTTCACATCCTCCACCTAGAGAAATAACAGTTATCTAACAGTAAATCCAAAGGGATAATGATCAATGTCATACTACACAATGATGGTACATGACACCAACAAATAACTGTTATTTAATAGTAACTTAACTTTTATTTATCTAAAAAAATTCTCTTTGTTTATCTATAGCAAATATTCTCTATCTGCTTGTTCCTACTTTTTATTGAACCCACTTTGCATCATACATACTAAAATATTAAAAACCAAAAAACCATGTTTATTAGAGCTGCACCCTTACAATTTAACATCAAACGAAAAAACAAAGCATCAAACAAAAACTTCCGCATGGTGTCTGGATAACTGTAAATCTTTGCAAGACTTAAAGGGAGAGTCCTGAACAAAATTACAAAAGTGAGGTACCAGACATACAACAATGTAAAAGGGTATTAAAAATAAAATAAACAAACATACAACAAACAGACTAAACAGAAAAGTCACATACACTAACCAGAAAACATGAGTCTACATAAAATGTCCGTACACATGGGAAATAAGACCAATAAAAACCTCATGCACACACACTTGTACACACCCACCTCAACTTGTACAGTCACCCTGGCCACCCTCAGTATCTCATCTTCTTTGCTGACCTCCACCACAAGCTCGTAACTTCTTTTCTCCTCTCTGTCAAAAGGCACACCGGTGGTGAGCACCACTCCACAGGTCGGCCGGATCGTGAATCGCCCACCAGCGTTCAGCAGAGTGTACTTCAGCGGCTCATTGAGGCGGTGGCCGACCATGTTGACAACAGTCACGACAGTGACATTGGGTATGTTCTCTGGGATGGAGGCGGAGTAGACCGGGAGGGTGAAGAGAAGGCCACTGTCTATAGCTTCTCGGACAAGCACTGTGATCGACGCGGTGCTGGAGAAACGTCCATCCCACACCTTAAAACAAAGAAAAAGAGAAGGGTAAGAGCGCCTTGTTGAGTGGGAATGTTATTTGCGTGTATTTGACAGCTGACTCATAATAGGGGAATGCAGAGGATGTAATGCTAGGGTTTTAATATGTAGACTTTGCATGCACTGCCCAATTCTCTCTTAACAAAACAACCCTGGGACATAGAAACCTGGAAACCACCCATCTACTGGGGCAGAAAATCCTGCATCAACTAATTGAAGTTTTCTACACCAAGACTATAACTATGGGCTCTGTGTGTACAATGCAGCTGACCCTGTGCTCTGACCTCCCTATGGAAATCATTACCATGAGAGCCGGTCTAAGCCATGGTCTAAGCCAATTATATGCTGTTTATCTAAGGTAGTGATAGATAGAAATTCTGTGTCTTTTCCAATCACTTACCTTCACATTGAAGCGGTAACGGTCTTTACTGAGGTTCTGATTTGTGACAGTCACAACTCCAGTGTAGCGCTCCACAGAGAAGTATTCTACATTGCGGTCAACCAGAGAATAAACCAGCTGGGGGGTGATGGATTTGTCAGGGTTCAGGGTGAAGTCAGAGGTAATATCGGGGTCAGTAGCCTCAACCCTAAGGACCTCGACTCCAATGTAGGTTGGCAGGAGGAGTACTGCCTCGTAAGTGTCCTGTGATAGCTTTGGAGGTGAGTCATTGATGTTGATCACCTAAGACAGGGCGATAGAAGCAGTGAAAATAATGTCTACAAATGCAACGTCAGAATCAAATTCAGTGGTTTATGAGGCAGTGAAAGTTGATTAACATGTTATTTACTTACCTTTATAACCACCTCTGCTGGGCTGTCAGCACTCCTAGGAGGCTGACCACTGTCTCTAACGTGAACCCGGAAGAGGAACTCAGAGAAGGTCTCATAGTCGAGACTGGCAATCGTTCTAAAATGTATAAAACATTCAGAAATCAATTCTTTGGGAGAGAAATTATGAGATAAAAATTCGTTTGTAAGTTGCTCTTTTTTTACCTACCGAATTGATCCAGTCCCTGAGTCCACACTGAAAAACATACGAGCGGTCTCATCTAGGATCTGGAACACTAAAAGGGCGTTGTGATTGCGGTCCCTATCGGTCGCCTGGATGACGAGAGGGTTACCATCCTCTCCCAGCACCACACTGTTGACTGGAGCTGCCTCACTGATTGCACCCACATACCTGTTAAGATATAAAGAGGACACTGCTGTAGAAGAGGAAGGCTATACTTAAATCGCTCCAGAAAATTACACATGACACAGCTCAGCAAACCAAAGCTCTTCTTTTTTGACCACCACTGATACCTGATTTGCTGGAAGACAGGTGGGTTATCATTGACATCCCCCACCTGGACGATGACAGTGGTGCTGGCCTCCACTCCAGCCATGCTCAGGGCATGCACCACCAGAAAGTAGGATGTTGTTTGCTGCAAAACCAAATAAATGCAATGAGTAAAAGTGCTATCTTAAAATTCCACGTGCACATGAGTAAAAAAACATTATCACATGTCAGCACTGAGCTTTGGCAGTTATTATATATGTACACACTCTGTTGAAACACACGTATTAACGAACCTCAAAGTCAAGTTGTTTGCGCGTGCTGATTACACCAGTATGATGGTTGATGAAGAAGCAGAAGTCCTCATTGCCCCTGGTGATATCATAAATGAGTGCTGAGCGGCTGAGAGCGCTAACAGTGGTCACATGTGTTCCAATAGTGCTGTTCTCCATTATCTGTAAATACAAGATGTCAGCGATATAATTTGTGTGCATAATTTCATAGATATTTGCCTATCTTCCTAGGGATTTACCATCCATCCCTCCTTCCCATCTTCCAGCCTTTGTTTATTCGATGTATCTCCCCCTTCCCACACCTCTCCCCCATGCACCCATCCTTTCAGTCAGCCATCTCTCTCTTTACCTCAGCCTGATACTCCTTCTGAGAGAATTTGGGGTTGGAGAAGTCGGAGAGTATCAAGGAGATGCGAACCGAAGCTGTGGCCATTAACGGAGGAAATCCACTGTCTGTGACACGCACAGTGAGGGTGTAAAAGCCCACAGAGGTGAGGTCCAGGTCCCTGGCAATGAAGATAAGGCCTGTGGCATTATCAATGGCAAACACACCACCGGTGTTACCTGTAAGTGGCAGAAAGGTTAAAGACATCGTTACTGGTAAACACTAATCCTAGTTTGTTCCCCTCTGACAAAGCATTAAAAAGCTATTCACAGTTTAAAACAGAGGAAAAGAGAGACATAAAAACGTATACTAAACGTATAAACTTCTTTATTTACAGATAGCATCACACCTGCTTCCATAGTATAGGTGAGTTGCCCGTTAATGCCATTGTCTTTGTCTAAGGCTGTCACTTGTACTACAGATGTGCCTATGGGAGAAGACTCATAGGCCACAGCATCATATACGGTGCTGGTGAAGTAGGGGATGTTATCGTTGGAGTCCTCCACTGCCACCAGGATACGAGCCAGGTCACGGTTAAATGGAAACTCCTGATCCTTGACCTGGAGCGAAATGAGAGATGAATATGGATAACACTGTAGGAGGTGATAAATGAAAGAAATCAGCTAAAATTAAGTGAGGCAAGAACAGCTGCCAAGAGAAGCACAGGCACACACACACATATCCCCTCCATGCCTCACCATAATAGTGAGGATGTGCTGTGTCCTAGCCTCGTAGTCCAACCGGTCTGCCGTGTAGACAACCCCCGTACCGGGATTGACCCGGAACAGTCTCATACTGGCTGGGTCTACACTACCATAGATGGAGAAGCTCAAACGGGAACGTTCATCCATGTCTGACGCTCGAACCCGCAGAAGCTCTATGTCTACTGGCACGTCCTCTGAGACACTGACATCATAGGCTGGCTGTGAGAAGACTGGAGGGTTGTCATTGCTGTCTTGTATTCGGATGAACACCTGAGTGACAAAGAAGAAAAATGGAGTTTAAAAAGTTAAAGGTAGGTACAGAGCCGAATCGTGCACAGTATATTATCCTTAAAGATAAGAGCTCTGGTATAGAGTTAGCTTTGGTGACTGATAATATTTGATACAGTTGTAGGGTAGAGCTACCCCTTGAATATTGTATTTGCAAGGCAGCGATACCAACAGTATTTACACTAAATCTCTATAGTCAAAGCAATAGTTATGGTATTTTTTAAGGCGGACAGGATGTTTTCTAAGAGGAATGCGGGCAATTTTTGTATTTATACAAACACTTGACCTTTATGTGCCCAAGCTAATCCCCATTAATCCACTGATATCAATGATTCCCCTTACAAGGCAGACCTAGTAGGCCAGCCAAAACAGCAGGAATACAGGAAATGTCAAAGACACAGCAACAAAAAGCACATTTCATAGTCAGCGAGAGATAATTTCAGAAAAAAGGGAGCGCAAGCGTGGGAAGGAGGAGAGTTGAGAGTAAACAGCTCCCCTAGGAAGAGGTAACAATAATTTAATTTGATGTGGGTCTGGAGTGTGTAAGAGGCTGTGCCAGTGCATAACAAATCAAAAGTGTGTGTACCTGTGCTGTAGCAAAGTTGGTCCCATCTGTCACTTGTATAGTCATGTTGTACACAGACTGCACCTCTGCATCCAGGGGCTTGGCCACAACTAGAGTCCCCACCCCTACCTGAAGGTCAAACTGCATGTCAAAGCTCCCTGGAATCACACATACACACACGCACACATAGTTCACATAGAGTTTCAGTGATTTAGTATTCGCTTTGCGTGCTAAACTCAGGTGCTCTAAGTTATTACTGTGTAATTGTTTTGGCCAGGTGCCTGCGTCTGGAGCTGGAGGGTCTGTGAAAATAAAATGAACTGAAATGCAATGCAATGTAGCACTGAACCCACTTGGCAGCAATAAGAGCTGTTAACAGCCACACAAACATCTGTCTTATCACTCCAAAACACAACCCATCTCAGAGATCAAAAACCTGCAGCCGGGTCTTTTTCCGCGGGCGGTGAGCGTACAGTTTAGAGGCTTAATGTTTGATTAGACTGAGGGAGAGGATTGATGTGTGTTAAGTATTCAGTACCATCCCTCGTCTCATTCCAGCTTCTCTCTCGAGATATCTGGGAGCTTGAGCTCTAGTCAGCATATGAATACTGATTGGGCATTTTTCACAGGACCACTGATGCGTGTTGAGTCGAAGCAAGCCACAGGGATTTGCTTTTTTTTGTTGTTGTTGTTGTTGTTGTTTTTTCTGGAAGAGAGCTTGGTCAATATTACACTACAATCTCACAGCATCAAATAAAAAGAGATCACAGTTTGTAGTTTCTAAATAAAATGAAGTAGTGTTTCTTTCCTGTCTGGTAAAGGTGCCTCTAGGGAGTCTGAGAGTTAGTTTTAGTATTTCCAGTAGCATCTGTATTTTACAACATATAAGCGATACATAATCTGAACAGGTAGGTATACAGTATGTACAGTTTATGTCTGTAGAGGAAACAGGGATGGAGTAGTCAATAAATTATGACATGGTTATGAAAAAGGTATGGACATAAATGCTTAATTAGTGTTCTGTTAAACAGCCTTAATTGCTGTCAGTAGATAAGTGACAGGCATGACTAATGACTCAAAGGCACCCTGTGGCGTTTCTAATCAATAGTGGTGTTGTAGAACAGTTCTTTTGAGTGTATTGTGTGTATCACATATTCTACCTGTTTAAGTCAATATATGTGTAAATGCTCTGATACACATGAACCACAACCCGAAAAGTGCACGTACTAAAATTGATATCTGGAGGACTACTATTGCAGTACCATCAGTGACACAGACTAACTACTTTTCTTTTCCCATATTGCAACAAAAAGATATGTTGGATTTGTCTGAAAGATTATCAGGCAGACTCATGTGGCATCACCACTTTAACATCAAAGCATATTCAAGTGTTTTTTTAAATAGATTTAACACTTTATATTAAGTTATAAATATTCACTGTTAAGTAGTTGCCTGCATATGAGAAGCATATTTAAAAGCATTATGAATCATTTATTTTGCATGACCTTATTATACAACCAGTAAGCCATTAACTAAGAGTTTTCCCTCAATAACCTCCTAACTACTATTGATAGTGATTAAGGAAGATGTTGTACGTGAATTATGACTTTTTTAATATATGTATTTTGGGCTTTTTGCTTTTATTGGATAGGACAGCTGAAGATTAACAGGAAAGTGGGGAGAGAGAGAGAGGGGATGACACGCAGCTATAGGGGCTCCCCATGAGTTATAATCTTAATATGTCTTGTACAGGGACCTTAAACTTAAACACTGATCATTTAAAAAAATGTAAAAGATTTAAATTCAAGTTGAATACAAGTGTAACAGTTCAAAGTCTTGCAACTCTGGCCCATACTGAGCAAAGCATACTGGTTATGGGAAAGACTAAAATATTAAGAGAAAACTCAGTGGCCCAGTAATTGTAGAATATGCTTATACAGAATAAGGCATTAAAAAGTGCTTTATAACAACTAATAAAGAGCCAATACTACTAATATGCAGGTTAATAAACAATTATTTAATGGTAAATATGTGTACCTTAATATAAAGTGTTACCAAATTTCCATCTTGAGGAGCCTCTCTAAGATAGAAACGCTATTATTAGTTTACTTCCCGAAGTAGCAGCATAGCAGCTGAACTAAATATATGAACCTGTCCTGCCTGGGCAGAGATAACAAACTAGTGCTGTTTGTGTGGAGTTGTGTGGAATCTTTTTTCAAGCTCAGATCAATCAATACTGCCGTTGGCTAAACAAGGTCCTGATATTCTACGCTGCACTTTCTGAATTCCTCCAGACCTGGGGCATTTGAGGGAGAGGTGTGGCAAAATTAACTTTGACCAGACCTGTGTCGAGAGAGCAGTTTCTTCCACATGCATTCTGCGGAATGTAGAACATTTCTCTGGCGAGCCGACCGCCTTAACAGGGAGAGAGAAAAAGAAAGAGAATGAGATTATTAATATGTAGGGAGGTCAGGATATTCTTTTGATCAAAGTTCAGCATTATCTACAGAATGCAAAGTCGGCTTCTTGATGTTTTTAAAATGTACGTGTATTATTAGGTAATGTAAGACGACTTTTCTTTAGAACACAAAGAATGAGTGATTCATTCATGGATATTCAAATCAAATAAATGTTATTGTCACATATGCAATCATATGAAATTTGTCCCCTGCACGGGCAGCCACCTGGGGACCAACTCCCGATCTAAGCCAGGGCCTTGGGGCACTGACCAGGGGAATTAACCTAACATACATGTTTTGATGATAGGGGAAACTGGAGCACCCAGACGAAACCCACACAGACATGGGGAGAACATCCAAACTGCACACAGGAAGACCCTGCCCTAGCTAGGAGTCTAACCCAGGAATCTAACCACTGCTTTGAGGCAACAGTGCTAACCACTGAGCTTTGAGTCCAGTTCTTAATGTTGGAAAGAAAAAATAATCACTATGCTTTCACTTTTTGTGAAAAAACTATTAATGAGTTTTTCCTACACAATTACAATTACTCCTCTGATATCAACACTAAGAGTGGAACAGGGAAAAATGCACTTGCATTTCTGTATCCTTGAGGTCTGTGACTGAAAAAGAATAATCAATTCATCAACCAATAATCAACTCCTTTTCATATTAATGTCTGAGCAAGGGAGCTGTAATCAGAACTGTTGAGTAGCAATCAATAATGGGCTATTCACTGATTATTCTTTCAAAGACTTGAATCAAGAGGCAAGACAGAACTCTCCAGTTTCTCCAGGCAGACAGTTACAGACGGGAGATTCATTGTTTCTATCAGAGCCTGAGCAGCAGCAGAAGCCATTATTTTATTGTCCTTTGTTTGCCAGCTTGCTTTTGGCAAAATAAACAATAAAAAAGTGAACTTGTTTTATACAGACAATTTACTTTTAGCCTGCCGATCAATCACAACTACAGAATGTAGTAGAATATCCACTGCTGTTAGGCTTCCAAACACTGTCCCCAGTGTATCTCTAGCAGTGAGAAGTAATAGAGTAATATTAATAGAAACTAATATGTCCTAGTTACAGAAAAGTTGATGTGGAGGTCTGTGAGGAAGCCTGCTGTTCGAATCAAGAAATGTAACATTTTACATTGCACGGTGTGAAATGCCTTGATTACAGTGTGTTGGTTCTGGCTCGTCCAGGAAAAGTCTGACACAAAAAGTCAAATAAAAAATATTTAAGATACTCCACCATGAATATAGCAATTCAATTAAATTCAAAATACTTTATTCCTCACTCAAGAGGCAATTCAATCACTTCTACTCACAAGTGTTCACAAATTTGATGGCTTCTAGAATCAAACTAAATTTCCTTTTTTTTTTAATAAATCAGTTAAAATGTTATTCAATATATTGATATTTAACTATATTTAAGTGTATTTTGAACATGACAAATGACAAGAATCATTTAGTCATTTAATGCTAGTGTGGCCTGGCTAGTTTTTAGTTGTTCAAAACCCTAAACAAATGCACTTAAATTAGCAAAAGAAAATTCTAAATATGGATTGTTGTATGGCCTGTTAGTTTAGTATCGTACGTAAATTTTCTTACCGATGATATTGAACCAGACAGGTGTACTCGACTGGCTGACAGCGACTACTCCCACCGGCTGAGCTACAGCGGCTGTCTCCGAAATTGAGAAATTGTAGTACCTCTGGGTGAATAGTAGGGGCAGAGGCGAGGGGACAGGTTTCCGAATCCACTCTACATGGAGTTTGACAGTAGACCATAATGGGGGATCACCGCTGTCCTCTGCTTTTATCTAAGAGAAGGAACAATAGTGAAAAAACAGACATTCAGCTGACACAGGAGCTAATGAATTCATCATTTGGGAATACAATTGTAAATATATGGTGTTAAAAGTGGTGCTCACTGCCACAGTCAAAAACCTTATTTGAATTATTATTTGCTTAGAAAACAGCATTAGCCTGAAAATTAAGAAACATGGTTTAGGAGGAGAAGATCAGTATGTTTGTCCCAGTCACAGGAGAAGGAAGTTTCCATAATTCAACTACGAGCTCTTTTCCACTGAAAACTGAGCACAAGCTCAAGAACAAACTCCAAGGGCACATGGGCGTGACTAAATAATCAGTGAATCAGACGCATAAGAAAAATCTGGTGTTTGCAGCGCATATGTAAAAGGGGCTCGAGCAAGATGAATACACTGTTTTGTGTTGTGTTGGAGAAGCAAGTGCCATGGCAGAGTATCAGAAATGATGTGCATAAACAGAACTTCAGCTGTGCCACACCACCAACCTTGGCACTTTTGAGTTCATTGGCCACGCAAATACCAAAAACACAAAAGCTCAAACACCTGGGCTTGTGTCCGATGAAAAATTAACAATGTTTGCTCTTGTCAACTAGTTCTATAAACTAATAGAACCCCATCTGGCAATGAATACAGTTGAAACAGGAAACAAAGAGTGGAAAAGCAGCACTCGGGAAGTGGAAAGAGAGGAGCACCGTGTCTGAAGGAGGTCACAGTCGTATCTCAAGTAAGACCATCTGCAGTCTGTAATTCAGGCTATAGATCTATTGTCATGCTTGCCATCTTGCTAATGAGTGCTGTAGCTTTAGCTGAAATCTCTCACTAGACAGTTTAAGACCAAACAGCACTTAAATAAAAATCAGGACGGTTTATAAAAACCTGTTATATGAAACTCACAGTGAGGATATCATAGCTTCCCGCAGTCACCATCTTCTTTGAGGACACCATAGCAGTCCTGGGGTCAATAGTGAACTTTTCATCCTCATTACCATCAACAATGCTGTAAGTGATGTTGCCATTGGCTCCAAGGTCCCGGTCATAAGCAAAGACACGGTAGACCGGTTCACCACGTTTGTTGCGGTCTCGTTCAGTCAAGCTGATGCGGTAGGTAACCTCAGGGAAGGTGGGCGGATTGTCATTCTCATCGTCAATGTGAACTATGACCCACACGGTAGACTGGCGGGTGGTCACTGGGCCGTCTATAACTGTTACCTGAGGAAAAGTGTTTGAGCACACATACAAAACAAAACACATATCAGGTAGTCATAGAGATTCATTATTGTGGATTTTATTTGTGAGTGCATACATTTCTTAACATCTTAAATGTTGGCTCCCACTGTGTGGCTGCCGCTGTGGAGTGCACGACCACGTGGGGCTGAGCTCACAGGAAATCTCTTTGTATTATTGATCCCCTGGAGGCAGAGGCAGAGGTCTGATCATTGATCAATTGCACCAGATCAGGGTGAACACCATTGCTGCCAGCCTCACTGCACACTAGACTATTAATTACAAATGGGCAGCATAGACTGGCAGGCGGAGCAGTGGGTGGCATGCATGGACTGGCATTCCTATTGAAACCTCAGGAAAGGACAGGACAGGACGATGCAACAACAAAGACTTCTATGACCCCAATTTTAAACTCCTTTTAGGTGTAAATGTTTAAGTGTATGATGCTGTTAGATGCACTCTTCTTTCTACAGCTTTCGCGGCTTTCATTTTGTAGTGTGGTGTCATCGGCTGGGTTCTTATTAGGTACTGGAGTTGAACAAAGCAGTACAAAAAAAGTTTTGGAGTCTAGACAAATCCATTGGCAATACAGAAACAAAACATTAAGTCTCAATACTGTGGGTCAACTGTGGGTTATTTAATTCCATTTTGTAGAAGGGTGAAAGTGCTTGTAGATTCAGCAGCATTTAATAAGTTGTAAGAAAAGTATGGGGAAGTAGAAGTTTGCTCGTGTCTCTAAAGTCGAGAATCTGTGATTATCAGGTTCATCTGCATGCAGAGCAGCAGAAGCAACCGAAATGGTAATCACAGGGCTATCTGTATGCCCAGTGTCTGCGCTTATCAAATGCCGGGCAGACCAACTCCTCTCCTCCCTGTTCCCGTCCTGAGTAGGGAAGATAACCAATGATGAATGATTACATTTAGAAAATCCTAAACCTGGGGCCCAAAACTACAGCCATTCATCACAGTTTATGGAGCCTTGAGGGTCTGCCAGGGTTGTCCTCCACCCTGTCTTTGTTAATAGTGGGCTGTGGCAGGTGGCAGGGCCAGATAAATAATAATACTATAAACCCATGAACAATGTTAAGGTTTTTCTTTACCTCTAAGAAGTGCTCTGCCTGTTGTTCTCTGTCCAGTTTCCTTGCAGTTGTTGTGATTAGCCCTAAAAATCATAAAAGAGCAACTTTAAATTACACAAAAACAGATATGCAGATGGTAAAGCTCTTCATAATTCAGTGTGCATACAACTCTCTTTACAAGTTTACAAATATTATGACAATTTTAAAACTAAAATAAGTTCCAATTATAAAGTCCTCCACTTAAAAATGATGCATGTAAACACTCACACACACACATATTGCTGAAAGAAATATAGCCTGCAGCCTTGGCAGAGATGATGGCATTTGGCACATGTTCATATGGCGCTTTATAGCTGAGGGTCATTCAGTTGGCCAGCATGCCACCAGGACAGAGGGAAAGGAGGGGGCTACTGGTAATAGCTTTTATCGAACCAGATTATTCAGATGACGGTTAGATGGTTTGACAAACTCTAGCAGGCTGCACCGGAGATCACAGACGACGACAGCTCCATTTTCCCTTGATGTTTTTTGTTCTTTTTTTTTATTTCAGTGTTTTTCTCATTTTGTCAGTTGCTTGCTAGCTCACTGTCAATGTGCAATGCAACTACAAAGACGGCTCACACACAAACTCACACAAACACAGGCACGGTTTGCGTCAATCAATCAATAATTGCTGGGTTTAGTCAGTAAAACCTTTGTGAGTTTAACAAATCAAAAGCACCCCAGACATTATTCTGGCTAGAAGGGAAACAAGGTGGAAATGCAGACATTAATCCATGAGAAGATTAAGCCCATTACATGACAGTTTTACAGTATTGTAAGCCGACTTTTATTTTCCAGAAGAAATAAATGTTGTTGATCACATTCATTGTATACTATTAAAGGTCTCATGAGAGCCATCGAACACAATCAAATGGGCACATTTGCCACAGCCTGGATCTATTTTACACACAAATACAAATGCACATAAAAATGCACTGATACAAGTACTGAAATACTTTTATTTTGTTTTAGAAAAAGAACACATCTGTTTGCTGTAGCATTCTTATTTTCATTCACAGTATGTGTACTCTGCTCTACCCTCTACTATACACAAGATTGGAACTACATGCATGTACAAATAAAGAAGTCATACATACACAGGTGCGTAAATAACTATGTACATGCATATGTATTGCAAAATTATTTCTGTGTGGATTGTTATGTGGAATGATCACAGCGAATGTGCTTCAATGGTGATAATGTGTCTAATGAAGCGTTGCAGTAAAGTAGGATTATTTTTTGGTGCTTAAAATATCCGTGCAGTCAACACTCAATGGACATACTAAAGCCATGGTGCACACACACTCTCATGCTTGCGCATATCACAGTGTCACCTTGAGCTTGCTACGCAGGCTAACTTCAATTAAGCAAATTAGGAGTAAATCTAGAGCAGCGGTCACAAGCTGTAGGAGAGAGACTGGGGGGCAGCTTGTTCAGCAGAACACAGCACGAGTAACAACTCTGATAAAAATCAATGATCTACAGCTCGCAGCACATCTGCAGTTGGACAATCCCCCACTTTAATTGGACATGAGAAAAAATAAATTAAAAATCCCCACCCACACCTTCACACAAAATGTATGTAATGGTCCGGTAGCCTGTTTCAAATCTTTAGACTTCCCCTATTTCCTATAAAATACTGTCAATTCATAGCCTACTTCTTAGCCATGTAAGGGAAATAGCACTGGGACATTTTCTAACTGGGGCAACAATAAAAAGACAACTTGATATTTCAAAATTCATACTTTGGTTCATTGTTGATCATGAATATTGACTCAAACACATACAATTGATTTGCTAATATCCTGGTACAACAAAACCAATTGTGTCACTGTAAAAAAAGGTCACACAGTCAACATGACTCCATGATGGCACTCGGCAAACATGCATGCTTTTATAAGAAGCACCCCCTCTAACACCCTGTGTCAACACTAATCTGTTCTGTTTTCACCCCCAAAGGAGGTAGGCTTCACTCACACACTCAGAGACAAACAGACAGCACTGTAAGCTGTCACAGCACATTTACACACTTTGCACTCATTCAAAGTTTTGCTTCAATTCATTTTGGGAATTGTTGCAGAACCTCAAACCCATCAAACTGACACTTCCAGAGTGAACTTGAAAAATGTATAACTTTGAACCACCCCAAACCTAGTTTTGAAAAACTATTTGAAACTTGAAGGGGATTGCCAACAGTTCAGGTCATAGTGTGGCTGACAGCTGCTTCGTAAAAGCAAATCAATCAGCTGGGTTTTGTTTATTCATCTATCCAATGAAATCACTCTGGTACATGGAAAGTTTTTGACTGGGTAAACAGTGAGGAGTGATTCATATTGAATGTATCTCTCAATCATGCATGTCTCATTACCAAACTAATAGACTGGCAAAGTCGGTCACATTGTTGTGAGAATTATGGTAATGATGTATTTAAATTCACACTTTGTGATTGTGCCTTTCTAAAACTGTGGAACAAATCCACACAAAAAAATCACAATTTTTACTTGTTATTTATTGGGATTCAATAGGCTGATGAAAGCCAACCTGAAGTGTGGCCTCTAAGAAAAACTATTGCATGCAACATTATAAACCAATTTCTCAGGATCAAAGTGAAAGTTAATTTATCACAATGTGAACAAGATAGTCATCAATATGAGTTCCCTTGTATAGAATTAATGAGTAACAGATAATAAAATACTGTGGGTCTTTGACAGAGACCGACAGCAGGGCTCAGATGGCTAAAAACTCTCCCCTGTGACACACACATGCACTTTCATACACACAATGAAAAATTATTTTTATACAGCTGTGGTTCACACAAAGATATGAACAAATGTGCATACACACCCACGTGAGTGTCATGTATGAGGGTAAGGCATCATCTTCATCGCCTCATTGCAGCAGAAATGCCCTCTCTAACACACTGCTGTAACCAATTAATCAATTGATTAAAAAGCCACACAAACTCTCTTTCTCTGTCCCACTCTCTCTCACACACACACACACACAAATCATGTATACTGCAGTTGGATTCATGAACAGTACTACTGAAAAACAAAACAAATCAACTCAGTGTGATTTTGCAACTGTATTAATGGGATTCACATCCAGTGGATGCATCTGCATAGAAAGAGTAATTACAGCTAGGAGATATATGACCTGAATCATATTTTACTCTCATGGACTCTAAAGGGTCAAGAGTAAGTGTGAGAAGTTTAATGAGCGTGTTAGGACCAGTATGTCTATATTGGGATCAATAGGTTTTTCACCCTGGCTGAGTCCGGCCCATTTTCCTACACATTGTCAATATTATATATCCATGACGCTGTAATGCACAAAAGAGATATGCATAGAGGAAGAGAAATGTAAATACGCACTTTGATTTACAAACAGAGTAAGCATGCAACAGCACACCATAAGGGGATTCCACCTACCCGTAACTTGATAACTAACACGCTGCATGCTACATATAGGCCATTGGTTTTTAATCATTACATTGACATAAATCAGAATACAAGTCCATGTAACCGATGAAATGTGCCTTTTGTTGTTTACTCATAACTTAATCTAGGGCAGAGACAGAATAGACATTTCTTTCCTCGGGATTTGAATAAAACATTTCACCTCTTCAATAATTCTTTAATGGATGCTTCGAGCTTACTCTGAGAATGCTGGGGCCCTCCCTAGACTTCAACCAGCCAAAACTGAAACACATCTGAGTTTATTTGCTTTAATAATATTTGTATTCTGTACAGACTGAATGGTAAGTTTTCAAATTTTCAAATGTGGACATTTTGTCAATAAATGATAAACACGAGAACAATAAAAGCTTTTTAAATCTTATTTATAGTACACCAGTACTGAGAAAAGTGTGGGATCAAGACAGGCTCTTTTACACAGGGTCTAAAAGATTCTGAGTCTTGAAATGATGTTCAGGCATAGTGTTTTGAAATGATATTCAGTTCACAGGCTGCAGTTGTAAATCGTCTTTTGTGAGCCTGGATGCATGAGGAATTCAAGTGTGTGAATGTCTAAAAAAAGATTTTATAAGCACATAAAATTCACGGTGTAGAAAAGATTTGTGGTTCTAGAAACATTCTGAGAATGTGTTATAAAAAATATGTACAAATTATCTCTTATATAAAAAGTTCTAACTTGGTATCTGAAATTTAAAGGTTATATATATACGAGGTTTAGAGCATTTATATATCAGCAAACAACTATTTGTTATATAAAGATATGGTGGAGTAATGCCGTCTTGAGCAAAGAAAACGCCATTTCTTCACAAAAGGACATCACATGTCACGCATGTGAGTCTCTCCATGTTCAACTGTTGGCGTTGAGGCCAGCGACTGAAACTGCTGTTCTTCTTTCTCATCTACCTCAGTGAATTAAAGGTTATATTCAAATTCAACCTGCAGCCCTTTGCTGCATGTCTTTTTCCCACTCTCTCCCAATTCCTGTCTATCTTCACTTCTCCTATCAGATAAAGGCATATAAAGCCCCAATTTTCAAAAAAAGATAATCTCTCTGGTTCTGCTGCATCAGTTTTGATTTTAACTGTCCATAGTGAGTCCAACAATGTTACTGTATACTGTAGGAGTGTACTGCTATATCAATGTTCCTTAAAAATACACTCACAATTTCTGATCCCATCTTTACAGCCCAGTCAAATTGGACAAATATAGAACTACCCACTGACTATTACGTAAATCAGAAGGCAAGTTTTACCACCCAATTAGGCTACATTCACAGAAAAAAAAACTGGTATTTTTGCAAGTACACATTAAAGGGAAATTGGTCAGGACAGGAGCAGGGTGCAAATGTTAACCTTTTTGCATTTTTTACACATTGACAGGTTTTAATTTCACATGCAGTATTTTCCCACAGGCTCAACAGAGATAATATATAACCGCAGGCTGTCTGAGCATCAATTCACAAGCTCAGACTCTTTAAGACCCAGTCTTGATCCCACAGTAGAAGGCTTATAGTGAACCCATATGGTGGCTGGCAGTATTTTTTTAATAAAAACCTAATTTCAAATCCCAGTCCTTAAACCTTTTGCCAACTTCAGCTTCGTTTTGATCTGAGAAAAACATGTTTTTATTTGTGTTACTATATATGTCAGAATGCATAGAAATAAACTATTCCTATTAGGCATTCCTTCAGGGAACAAAAGTAATGGGAAAGAAAACTGCTTTGACTGTAAATTTCTTCATGATTATAAGATATTCACTCACACACTGGCTTAATAAAAGACTAACTAGATTAATTTCTGTAAGAACATTGCAAATAGCTTTCACCCCTAAAGAAGACTAGAAGCAATATTCAGTACAGTGAAGATTGTCTAGGTGGCTCATCAGTGTCCTAGATGTTCTACTGTGTGGGCACAAAAGTCTTTTTAATTTGTCGTGTGGGAACCAAAGCCTTTTATTGAATGAATGTAGAGTAGGAGGTGCAACTCATAATTTCAGAGGCATGTAAACATATTAACAGAAAAGATTGGTATAATTATTTGTTGTTTACCAGGATATTACTATTTATTCCATTAGTCTACAACATTATACTGCCAATTATGTCACCAAGGCAATAATTATTTAAAATAGTATATCTGGTTGTGAGTCTCACCTGTTTTGGGGTTTATAGAGAAGAAATTCTGCGGATTGCCGGCAGTGATGCGATAACTCAGACGACTGGGCGTGGAGGTGAGGTCAGGGTCCTGCGCCTGGATACGGATGACTGACACATCCTTTGGAGAGTTCTCCATGACGACTGGGTGGTAAATAGGATCCGAAGTGAGGGGAGCATTATCATTGACATCTTCTACCTGAGAGAGAAAGAGGGGAGAAGATGAAGCAGAGGAAGAGGGGGAGACAAAGGGGAGAGAGGGAGAGAAAGCAGGGATTGGGCAAGGGACAGGAATAAACAGTGTTGTTTGTATATATCTTAGCAGTCCTCTATGTCTGAGTTGAATCTGAATTGGCAATATATGTGTTGATAGAACCTTCTAAAACAGCATGTATGTTAACATGCAGATTTTAGTATCTTTGTTAATCAACAACTCGTGAAGTGCAGCTTGGACTGGGTCTGGGTTGATCTGTTATCAATCACAAAATGGAAATTTATTCACCAGAAAATGTCATAGATGTCACACTTTAAATGCACTGCAAATTAATTCCCCTTCTTACATTATATATCTAGAATATTTATGGCAAACAGAGCGCTGATGGAGTGTTTGCTGAGAGGCTGGAGAGATGGTAAAGCCGCCGAATGAGGAGCACCTGTGCCTGATTAATCTCCCTATTTCTGTCTGTGATGAAGAGGCCGGGAGTAAAGCACCCGATCACACCACCACACCTGAATATCCTGAAGCCAGAAAAGGCTGTTTATTTTTTTACACACTAGTGAACTCTTCCCCAAAGGGTGAGCAGCGGGGTTTGTATTTGTGTGTTTAGACAGTGGATTACTTAGTGCCAAATAAAATAGAAGCTGAAGCAGAGTGTGTATCTCTTGCTTGCAGACCTAGCACTGCTATAGTTACCCACTGCACTGAGCATTTTCAGCATTTTAGAGAATAATTGTTCAGGTTCATGCTGTTACTTTGGATGTAACACTTAACACAACAACATTATCCTACAGTTACAGGTTGCAGGCTGTAAAAATTCATCAGTGACAGATACAGACAAAGAAGTTAATCTGTAGCTAATCAGCACCTTTCCGTGTCATAATGTGCATAATGTATGACAACAGGAATGCTTGGTCTATAGCCAAATATGATATATATAATAAATATAGGACAGAACATAAAATGTAATCATTTGTGTTGGAAATGTGGTTGGATGTGACATTAAGAAAGGAATACTCCACCCAAATTATATTTTCAGATATATCAAACAATCACCCCCTGTAGACTTAAAAGCAGGCCTTATGCTGCTTTCCAGAGTATGATGGCTGAGAAACTGCCTTTTAGCATCACTTGATTTGCAAAGGCACAATGTAGATTAGCTGTTTTGGACCAGTACATTTTGGGCTCATTGCTGATTAATTTGAAACCAATTCCAAATTAATTTAGAGAGTTATAAACAAATTCATCAATTATTAAGTATGATGTTTTATTTTTGCGTCTGATTAAGCTTCCTCTGTATAAGCCCCCTCGTGCATGCTTTGTATAATGTAGTATTGGCAGCAGAGTGTGGATACCTGAATGAAGACCTCAATAGAAGCTGACAGGGGTGTAACCCCTCTGTCTGTGGCATAGACTGTTAGCCAATAGGAGTCTTTGGTCTCACAGTCCAGGATACCGGCGGTGTAAATCACCCCTGTTGAAGCAAAGAGAACGATTAATGCTGTTGATACTTGGGGTCGAGAATACATATCTATCAGGTCTGTGTGTGTGCGTGTGCGTGTGCGTGTGTGTGTGTGAAGGGGCAGTTTGGGCATCATCAGCAGAATACTTTCTTAAAAATCTCATGGGGAAAGTGTTTGAATACTAAGTTTTCCAGAGGCAAAGACACAAATTTAGAGTAAACTTTCTGTCCTGGCTTCAGTGACATTCACAGGCATTAGTGGCGCCGCTGTAGTCACCTTCAATGTTTCAGCTTCTCTACAGCTAATCACAGCTGACCAAACTGCTCCCGCTGCAATTCGCTCAGTGCTAAACGTACCCTGAACTGCCCTACACCAATAAAGAAACACACACACAGACACTCACACACACATTGACTGGCGTGTGGTTAGTGGCCTTAAGGAAGATGAGTAGCTGACAGCTTTGGTGACCTCTTGAGGGACAAAGAGAACACTCACAACACTCACAATGGATGACACATCTCTTTTTTTTTTTTCTTGCAGGACTGTCCACTCCAAACACTTGAAAAATGACACACGTCACACTCTAGATTTTAGGGTTAATTCACGTCACTTCTAAACACTGCCAAGAGCTGAAGCACAATGGTGCAAGGTCACAAATGCCACATGCAGTTTATCTAAACAAAGAAACCTAAATCCAGGATCAAAAACGACACGTATGTCTAATTGCATCGTCTAGGAATACATTGACTGAACTCATCATAAGCGCAAAGCAAGCATTTGCTGCATTTCTGCTCAGTGCACAGAAACTTCCATCAAATCTCAAGGTTCAAGGTTCATCTAATCTCCAGTTTTATCTTAAATCACAGCACTTTCAAAAGTGAGCAGTCTGTTACTTTTAGGAGCTTAAAGAAACTCAGTAAGAGCTAAGACGTATGTTCTTCCAGAGTCTGCGTATGCATCTGTGCTTGAGTACACAAGCAATTAACCCCAAGAAGATGCTAGACTGAGCTGAGACTGGATGTGTGAGCAAGTGCATATTTACTTTGGTTCTTTTATGCTTACCTAAACCTTAACACTGCTATTACATCTCTTATAATTAAAGACTGGTTGATGTTAATGATGTTAGTGAGCTAAGTCCCTTCTTTGCAAAGATTTATAATGTGTTACCACTTATAATAGAGTTTGTTGTTGCTGTTGTTATTTATATTAATGAACACACGTTAATCTTTACTTCATATGTACCACATTGTTGCCATGCCATGCATGCAAACATGGCTGCTGTTATGCTGTGTTAAAAATGGGCAAAGTAGTAAGGTCAATACACCTCACGTCTGAGTTTTTTTACTCTTTTTACTCCCAACAAAACATTTATTATAAAAACCATTTCTCTAACCGCAGAGTGCAGAGTGCAAGAGAAGACCAAATCTGGGATTCCTTTAATTTTACCTAAATAATACCTATCTTCATGACTCCAGGGTAGCAGAGAGAGCCAAGACGATTCTGCCCAGACTCCACGCCCCTGGGGTAAACATGCTCAGTGCCACTCTTGGTTGATTCCGTGCCTAACCTCGGCCACCCTATTAAAAACATTTTTGCAGGATATCATCTTAACAATCATAAAAATATGTTGTTGTTCAGCAAAACTCCTCTAACCACTTTACTTTTTTTTTCTTTTTTCAAAAAGACAAAGACTGATCCTTTCATACATATTAATTTGTTTGGGCTGCATGAAAAATAACTTGTTTTCATACAGATGTCTGCTGTTCCCTAACTTGGCCTTTCACTCTGCCACAAACCCCCACATGCCCAGGTTAGAGTCATACAAGCATACAAATCAGTTACTCGAGGTGTGACTGTGTGGCCTTTTTTTGTTTACTTGAGTCAGTCTCATTGCAGCTTCCTCAGCCGCATGGTGATGGTGTTACCTTATCACCAGAAAGTGTGCGTATATGTCAGATTATGACTAAGCAGCTGCCCAAGGCATGCACAATGCATAGTAAAAGTGTTTGCTGAAACACATCCTTGCTCTGCTGTCCTTGACCATGTCCTTTTCAAACCACATCTCATCTCTGTCAGATATCTCGACAAGAGAAAACAGAGCTGGCTGTTTCAAAAGCTCTTTGAACTTTACGACCGACAGGCACTATTCAGTGAATTCGATATAAATATGACTTGACAGCATCCATTCTCACCATAAATAACACACTTCAAAGCGTGAGCAAAAAATTGAAGGGTCAGGGCATATTTTCCAATCTAGAAGTTCACAGTACGCTTAGGCTTACATCCATCTGTCATGCCAATTCAATTCCTGTGTTCCTGAGAAACAAGCTGTGGGGTCCCACTATCTAATTAATGCCACCATATCCAATAATCAATCCCAAGATTGATGAAAACTATACTGTGCGTATTTCTCTGCATCTTGAGACACAGCTGAATAGTTCTGTGTGGCAGAAAAGAGGCCATCAAAAAAAATCAGCCTGTTAATTTTTTACAATGCAGAATAGATTACTTTTTAAACGTTTTTTGCCTGTAACCTAAAGAATGCTTTATCCTGACTGTGATAAATCCTGGAGTTTGCAAACCCACTAATAGAGGAGCAGTGGCTTCTGACAGCTGCCCAATGAGAAATAGCAGGCCTTGCTTTCCCCCCTAACCAATGACAAGAATACCAATTTTTGTTCAAAGTACAGCAGTGCTAAGGATTTAAGCCGGAGAAGATCCTACTTCTTTTTTGATAGATAGTCTGTGTGCTTTCCACCCATACAGGAGTGAGTCATCTTAAGTAACTAAATATGAAGTGTGGGAAAAATAGGCATTCATAAATGGCAGGTATGACAAACAATGGGGGTGTCATGGGCCATACAAAATGCATCATATAGTCGATTTACAAAATGTAAGTGTGTGAGTATGTTGGAGGGTGCACAAGTTTGGACTAAAAAAAACAGATTTCTCACATTTTCTCTCATTCTTTCTGTCCTTTTTACTCTCTCTCACTGTCTGTCACACTCTCTCTTCACATACTTAGTTTTGGCATTAAGAGCTACAGACTGACAAGCAGTCAGAGCGAAGCCACTCAACATGGCAGCTAAATGCATAGTGGGAGGACAGACTGGTGCTACTCTTTCCATGCCTGACAACACTGACTTCTACGCTACAAGTTCAAATGAAACACTTGATTAGGAAAAACTTGGCATGTGCTTACTGCGTCTTGTTATCTGATACCAAAAATGCACTGATTTTTTCACGTGCTTATGATGTCAGGGGGGGGAAGAACAACCAAAAAACAAACAAACTTCCCAAAAGAAAAAAATATATAATAAAAGGCCTTGGAGGAAGAAGGCAGTATTTTCTTTTGACACTTTTTATGTACTCCAGACTCCCCTGCATCCTCTTCCTTCCTCTCTTCGCTTCACTTCCACTCCCCTCTCCCTTCACTTTCTGCTCTAACAAGCACTCTGATTTCCCCTGGAAAATCTGCACTCAATAAACTTTCTTGCTGGCTGTGATGCTCCTTACTGGGGTTTTAATATAGGGATCGGTCTATGTACTGTAACACTGTTTTGTCTATAAGTATAGTATACCCAATGAATACATAATTGTGTGTACATTGTGTGATTATATGAAGAGAGAGACGCACAGAGAGAGTAAGGGCGAGAGACATTCTCTACATTTGTCCATCTGCTTCTCTATCGCTGTCTCTCTCAACTATAGTCAATACTAATTAGCCTAGTTAAAGGTCAAAACAGGCCTCCAGTGCAAGTCATGTACAGTAGGGAGAAGTGTGGCAAGAGGTGAAGAGAGAGGGCAGAACAGGAACACTGTCATTTGTTCTCTAAAAATAACTGCTAAAAAATAAACTTGCTTAAATTAAACTCCACTAGTTATTTTTCCGCCAGCCACTGGTCATTTACACTGCTAGTTACTGGTGACAATTAATTTTACCAGTTGCTGTACTATAGATTATTGTTCTAATTATATAACTACTCAAATTTTCTAAAATGTTGTTAATGAATTAGTAAGTAAGTAAGTAAATTTAATTTATAAAGCACATTTAAACACAGTATAAACTGACCAAAGTGCTGTACAGTGGATGACTAAAAAAGGCAAATAATACAGAAAAACACATTGGTAAATAACTAAAA